TGAACTTTTGTGGCAATTTTGCCAGCTATTCAGCTTTTGCTATAAATGGATATAAGCCTGTGAGGTTTGTGGCTCCATGAAAAAAAAAAAACAACACAAACTACAAATAGAAATACCATGCAGTTCCTGATATAATATACCCACAGAGAGCCAGTGTGCAGTTGGTGATATACACACCGAAAACAGGTTCACATTCTAGGGACTTTTTTCTGTTGATTATTTTTTTTTTTCTGTTCTTTTTCCCCCTTTTCTACTGCTGTTGCTTCTTTGTTTAATCTGTCTTTAATAGCTCTGAAGCTGGAAATTGGAAACCGTAACTTGCTCTCTCTACCAGGTAGCAAAACTCTGGATGCTGCAGGATGTAGAACACATTCCCCCTGATCCAAATCTGTTAAACCATCATTTGATGTTCCAAGCTTTCTGTTGGAGTGTGATATACAGATTTGAGCCCTGCAGGTAAGGTGTACTTATGTTTTCTATATGATTGTATATATGTGTGTGAGAGGGAGACAGACAAACACAAGCAGATGCGGGGAGGGGGGGAGAGCAAGAGCGTGCCAGGGTGTGCATACACTAAACATGTTTACAGTAAACCAGTTAATCTGAAAAAGTCCCGGTGGGGTTGGCAGCAGCAGGGAAGCCAGACTGCCTCAGTAGGGTAAGGAGAAACCTCCCCTTGCCCTCCCTAAGCCCTGCTGGCAAACTGCCCGCTGGCTTCCCAGCAAGTTGGGCAATATGTGCATCCCCTTATCGCAGTGCTGGGTGGGAGCCAGGCACGATGTCAGCAGCCAGTGACCCACAGACATGCCGTTTGGTGCCTGACTCCATGCCTCAGCCCTTACGGCTCCGCAAGCAACAAGTAACTAGCCCCTGGTCTCCCGCACACAAAATGCTGTTCGGCTCCTGCTTGTACTGGAAAACACTGTTTTTTATAAGTTCGGCAGTGCTTCTTGCAGGTAAGATATTGCCATTCTTGACTATGACTAACAATTATTTAAATAGTGGCTGTCGTAGAGAAATGAAGCATCCCACTTGGGAGCCCAGCCCTGGGTGCCCCCAGACGGGGAATCAGATGGCTGAGTGTTTAGAATAAATCAATATTTGCACAGTTTATTCATGTTTGAGACCTGATTGCCTCAGGTATACAAGGTAGCACTAGGGCTGCAGCATAGTGCCACAATTTCCATAAACAAGGAGTGTTATGTGGTATTTGGGGTTTGCTTGTGTCAGAAGGGGTTATTAACCAGCTCTGTTTGCCTTTTAGGTTTTACTGAAGCCGGAGCCTTTGCCAGCCCAAAAGAATGTGAAAGTGCGACCATAGATGATGTGAATGAGAGCCTGGAGGTAAGAGGTTGGCTGCCTCGGCCAAGACAGGACCTGCCTCACCCACACCTTCTGTGGTGGCAGGAGGAGCAGGGCCCTGCCGCCTCCGCAGGGCACAACCTGTGTATTGCTTTTATGTCTTTTGCTTTACATGCATAATGTCTTTTTAAATCCTACTTTCAAACATAAAGTGCTAAGTATGTTAAATGCAAGTAAAGCCAGTCAGCTGAAAGCTTGTGTTTTATGGATTAGTGGCCCTGTCTCCTCGGGGCCCGGCATTTCATAAGGGAGTGAGTGACCAGACAGTGACCCTTGAACATGGCAGAAATGGTAAAGCACTGCCAGGGCACGGCCTATAAAAAAATACATGTCACACGTGATTGAGACATTTTTCTGTAAAACAGCAACACGGAGCTAATAGCTGGAGTTGGGGTCCACATATCAGTACAGACCATCAGCTTCTGCCTGGAGTATTGCTCTCATCACACAGGGCAGAAAAAAGGCCGAGGGCAGCACTTGCAGAGGAGATATTCTCCCAGTGGTTGAGGCTTTTTCCTCCCCCAGACATTTGAATTACATTATTTTCTTTGTATGACTGATGCCCATTGCTTTCAACAATGTTTCTGCAAGCTGCAGCCAGAGAAGCAGAGTTATCCATTGCTGGCTTCAGTAGCCACCACTGAAAATTGGACTTGCACTTTTTCTTGCATTTGTGTAAGCTCAAAGTAACTGGTGTCCATTATGATGTTGTGTTTGGCTGTGGAGTTTACCACGGCTCTGCATAGTCCATGTATGTTCATAGGCACACACATATGGACTGAAAGCTATTTATATGGATATAGAGCAATAGCCAGATAAAAATACAGGAACTTTATTCTTTACACACATTCACAAACATATATTTTTACATACACAAAAAAAGACAGAAAGTCTACAAGATGCCAGCAGTTAGAAGATAAGAATAACAAACCAGTGTTTTGTATAGAAAGACAATGCACATATTTGTTTATAAAGGCATCTTTTCATATCTAGAAAAAAACCCCCAAACCAACCCATACCAGTTCTTTATCTTGAACTCACTATAATGGAAAAATCCTACCTAGTCACTGTTTTCAAAAAGATTATGGGGAAATCAGGGTTAATTAAGCTATATAATATTCAAGCTCGTTCTTGCTCTGCATTTAAAAAAAAAAAAAAGAAAAAAGAAAAAATATTTGACTACTTTCCTAAATTAATTCCAAGGCCTTTTCCTCTTCAACTTAGCCTTTTTTTCCCCTGACTCCATAGAAATATTCAAAATGCTTTAATGACATGATTGCCAAGGGTGAGAAAGCTTCAATCAATTTCCTCATCTGGACACTGCAAGAATCCCTGGATCGCCTGCGGGCTGCTCAGGAGAAATGTGAGGCCCCTCCTGAACCGACCCCATGCTCCTCTTTGCTGGGCGTTGGACAAAGTGCCAGTGGAGAAGCACTAAGGAAATATTTTTTATCTATAGCCAGAGCGAGCTAAGTGTCTGCATTTCTTGGGGGGGGGAGGAAGAAAATAAGATAAAAGACACCTCAGCCACAAGGTAGAAAGGCAAGGTGCTTACCCACTGTGCAGGCAGGCGTGTGGGAAGCAGGGCAGCACCAACGCACGGGGTGTCACCGTCCCCGCAGCCCAGCCACCGATGCTGAGCAGCAGCCCAGGGTCACGGAGGCAGCAGGGCCTGCTCTGCCCTCCAGAACTGCCTCTCCCGTGGCTGGGAAGAGACACTTCAGTTATATTTTTCCAGTAACTATTTGGATAATTTTGGCCACGGTAGTACTGACTGGCAGCGCTGTGAAGGCAAATGCCACTTAAAGTGTAACAGAGACTTTGCTGCCACAGTGACAGGTGATGGAAAAATTGGGTGTTGCCAAGAAAAACATAATTTTTTTTTAAACAAGGAAAAATGCTTACTTTGATCAAGTCAGCTAGTGGGGGCACTTATCAACCATGCCCAGGTCAATGGGTATGCCTAGGCTTTGCTTGGGAAGGGGAGGCTTCTATATTCATTTTCACTCTGATGTGTTGTTTTTCTCTCTCTTTTTTTTTTTTTTTGCCCTAACCCACTGGAAAGTTTGCAAGCAGCTCCCTCCGTGCCCGCTCCCACTAGCACCTAGCAATGGTGGGCTGGTGTGTGTCACCATTGACAATACTCAGTACTGCAAACCCATGTGCAACAAGGTAAATAGTCATGGTTTCCTGCTGGTATATTGCTGACCATTAATTTACAAGTCTTTACTGTGTAATGCATAGTTTTCCTTCTTATACTTTTTTTTTTTTTTTCCTTCTTTCTTTCTTTTGGGACGAGAGAAGTCTCTTCTCTCACTTAATCAGTAGGTTTAACGTCATCCCAGAGGACGTCAACTTTCAGATTTGTCACCGGTTTCAAGGTTGGATCTATGTGTTCAGAATATTGTGGTAGGCATTTGTCATTTGAAGACCTTTATACTTTTTAAAAATACTCTCTTTTAGCCTCACTCCATTCCCCCCCCTTCACTATTTCTTCCCATATCCTATGTACAAGTGGAAAGCATAGTTTTTCTTTTTTTTCTTTTTTTTTTTTTTTCCTTCTTTCTTTAGGGTAGGGAGAGGTTGTAGTGTTTGTATTCACCTTCACTGGCTGAATGTTTTGTCATCTTACAGTTACCATGAAGCAGCATAAGACACTGTTTGTTTGGTTTTTTTCCCTATGTTTGTTTCCCAAGGGTTATGACTTTCAATTCCTCAGAAGAAGTAGGCTGTATGAAGTATGTGGCAACGCCACCAGGTTTTCCTGGACAACGGAGCTTGGTGGGGGAAAGGAACTGGCTGTTTGTAACCGTGAGTATTTCTCAGACACACCTGGTCACAGGGACAGGAGGCTCAGTCTGTTTTGTTTAGAAAAAGGAGAAAAGTTTCTCCTCTTTTGGTATGTGGGATATTGTGAGAGTGGACAAACTGCTGAACGAGAAATTGTGTTATTTTTATAATTACCACAAAGGCCTGGGCTGGTGAGCATCACTCTTTCAACTCGGGATAGCAAATATGACATGTATGCAATGTTTGTGGGAAAATGCACTTTTTTTTAATAAAAAAAAAAACAAACAGTAAATAGGTATCACCTTGCCACAACCCTACATTGCACAAGGGCTGTGTGACCTGCTGGGCAGCCAGCAGTAGGACATATAAATGCTGTTTATCTTGCAATAGTACTTGAAGAACCACAGCAAAATTGGCCACCACCTGCAGTATTGGCTGTGTGTGTACAACAAAACCCAGCTGCTGGCCCCCAGCCAGCAGGGCTGCTTCTTTCATGTGGCAGCCCAAAGGTTTTAAGACTGCTCGTATTGCGTCCATAGGGCAATCCGTGACCTGCAGTAGGCTGTCTGTCTCCGTTGTTAGTGCCTTAATTTAAAAATAAGTGTATGTATACATACACAAAAGAGTCAACCTATCTCTCCTATGGTTAATGGAAAATATTTTACTGTTGACAGTGCCTTGTTGCTAGAGCAGTTGTTTCCCAAGGCTTACCAAAAGCAATCATCTAGGCACTTTTATTCCAACTTAAAGTCTTTAGTCTGGAAAATGAGAATGCCAATGCTTGTTTAAAGATCAGGACAAATCTAGGCTAATTCTGCTGCTTTTTTTTTGTCATTTTTGATCTTTCCAGCCTCTGACATTGCCATCAGTGGAGCTGAATCTGCCTATTTCCCCACCAACACCACCTGTCTGCATACACTAGCCTTCACTGAAACTCAGACAGAGCAGCTAAACATCTTCCTCAAAGAGCTTGGTGAGCAAGGCATCAACGGCTCCAACCGTGACAAGGAGGCTGATTGTATCATCTGCGGTTAACCAGCACCAAAAAGCTTGTGCCACCAACCAGCTCTCTGTAATTTGACGTGGGTATTTTGACAAGAGGAGCTAAACATTGATATCTTTGTTAAGACATGTAAACATACAGCTTTTATTTCATTAAATGACTAGAGATCACAGTCATAATCTGGCCTCAGCTCTGGAGTATAGGCTAAACCTAATCACATAGGCCATGGCAGAGGTGTTTCAAAGAAAGATCACTTTTATGGCTTAAATTTGTCTAGCTGGAATTATATAAGCATTAGAGTTGTTTAATGGATGCAGTTATTAGTTAAACACAATAATTGTTATCAGAAATCGTCTCCTGTCAGGGATCATCTTTACTGAGAAAAGGCCGTGCTTTTAGTTGCTTTTACAGTTGCCAACTAATCACGATTGTTGCTCTGATGACCATTAAAGCAACACAAGTCACAACAGTTACTGTCTGTAGGGGTATAATTCTTTATTCACACACCTGCTTGATTGGGAGTTAAATCAGGCTGCACATACAGCTGTTCAAGCTGCTTGCATGTGATTTTCATGAGCTACAGACTTGTAGTTTGTTGGTGGGACAACCGAAAGGGTTTGCCTGTATTTAGCAGCTTGAGGACATCCCACAGAAAGATATAGCCTTTAGGAGTCAAAAAGTGCCCCGTATGCTTGCTGTAACCAGGCAAAATGACAGAAAAAATGCAACATCCCCATCCAGTACAAAATGTGAGAACTAGGATTGCCCTAAACTAGCAGATATGTGTCTTCTCTGCCAAAAAGGTGGAGGTGGGTGTTGAGGGACCTGCCTGAGAAGCTCTCTGGTTAGCCTGCTAGAGATCAGTTTCAATGTCCTCTGTTCAGCCCCTGTGGGGCTCTGGAAAAAAGTCCTATTGACCCTTGATTTGCTCTAACAGCTATGGTGTCCACTCTGCGGGATCCTGGGCTAAAGTGTGCTTCTGCACTCACACGTCCTCGTGCTCCCTGGGTGTATGTGGCACACACAGCTCTGGGGCCTCCCTTAGCCAGAGATTGTGGTTACCACAAGTTGTGGCTTAGCTTTGGTGGGAAAGTACAAAAGGAACCGAGGTCTGGTTGGTGATAGAGTTGGGACAGGCCATATTTAGGGCCTTTATACCCCTCCTGCACACATACGTACTCTGGAAAACCAAAGCCACAGTAGGAAGTGTAAAGAGCAGAAAGCCCAGGCCACTGGCCACCTGGCACTGGGTACAAGTGAAGACCAAAGACACCATAGCACTAGAGACCCAGTTTATTTGTACAGCTGCAGCTACAGAACAGACAAGTATATGCATTATTACGAAATCTAAACAAAAAGCTTAGTTACTACTTGCTTGGTTTTCGGTGGAACCCAGGCTTGGGCTTTTGTTTTAATTTTCTTCTGTTGAGCAAACACTGACGCCACAGATCTGAAGACAGCCGCATCATCTGTTTGTCTTTGCTTTCTCTACTTCACCTTTTCCCTGTTCCTGTGAATGTCTCAGACACAGACAGCATGGTTATGTGATACATTTTGTCTAATTGACCTTTACCTCATTAATCAGTTAAACGATTCAGCTATAGAAAATTACATACTATCTTTCTGACTCAGAATCCAGTCATTACAAGCAAAAAAAAACATGGCTTGCTTTTGAGCCCAGAACCAGTCAGTCATCTGACCGTGAGCGTAGCAGACACACCAACGAAGGGATGAGTTGGCTGTTTATAAGCTGTGAGCCAGTACCTTAACTCACTGTGTTGCCTCCCCAGAGCACACCTCTGGCTGCTGGTATGTCCACCTGCATAACTGTGGTCACCTCAGCTGAAGGCCTAGGTACTCCTTACAGAGTAACTACAGAAAGGCTTTCCTGACACTAGTTAAGAGAATACAATGCTGTATTATACTTGCTTCTCTTTCAGTCTTCTTTGCAGACCATTATAAAGCAAGAGAAGAAGTCGGTCTAGGAACTAAGCCAACAACAGTAATTACAATGTAGAGAAAAAATGGAAGGCAAAGTGCTGAGAAGGGTAGTACATGAAGACAAAATTATACACAATGTCTTTTCACAGGAACTTAGCAGCAATAGACTTGGAAACCCATGGTTTTTGGATGGATCCTAGGCAGTAACAGCCCTCCTGGGCGATGTTATCGTCCTGAGCCATCCTTCCCAGGGCTGGGGGGCGAGACAGCCTGTGCTGGGGTTGGCTCACACCGAGCCCTGCAGGGAGATCTGCGGCACACGCTTCATCCTCCAGATCACCACTGCGGCGGGGGGCAGAAACATGAGGAAACTCATTATCAGCACTGTGGCCAAAATCACCAGCAGTATTTCCCATGGGGCCAGGATCGTTTCCACCATGATTTCCTCCATGTCAAGAGTCTGAAGCTGTAAAGCAAAAAAATACACGGCATTACTTTCTTGCAAATAAGCATTATGGCTGTATAGATGTGTTTGGTTTACCCATTATAGGACTGCCAGCCTCTTTCACTTATTATTTTTCATTCTGAAGGACAAACATGTTTTTCCTGGCTGCAGGCCCCAAAAGAGTTCCTAGTCTTTCTCTCTCTCTTTCTCTGTCCCCTTGAGAGCCTCCTTGGAGCAACAGCCTGCCTTTCCCTTTTGGCTGGGTTGCAGACACCGATTCTGGTGTACGACACTACATCCATGCTGAAACACTGTTCCTGACTCTTGGGACACCTTTTGTAACCTTCTCTTTAAAATTTTGACATTTAAGGCCCTCCCCTCCCACTTAGGGCATCATATCACAAAATGATCATTACACTGACATGTACCAAAGATAAAGCTGAGAATAAAAGGATAAAATACGAGCTTAAGATGCAGAGAGGTTCAGCAGCCAGGCACTGGGGCATATGTGCAGAGCAGAAGCAGAGCTAGTAAGTCTCAAGTCTTTAGTTTTGCAAAATAGAAAGAGTAGACCAGTTAGGAAGGAATTAAATCATGTTGGCTTTGGGACATGGAGCCAGGACTGTTAACAGGTCTGTCCTAGTTAGTCAAGGGCTCAATGCAATTCCTTCAGCCACACACCTGATACCCATAATGAAACCATAATGAGGGTGAATAAAAGGTGGTAGCCAGGGGCTGAGCAAGTTTTTGTTCCTCCACAACCTCTTGCCTCTTTGCCCTGGCAGTAAGGACGTGTTCTGAGGGGCTGCAGTGCTGCCTTCGGCCTAGAAACTTGGCATAGATGGCACCAGAGGAGATCTCAGGTTTGTCCATTACTTTTTAAACTGGGTGGTATGCTGGGTTTCTGTCACTAAATTCTGACCTTTATGAGAAGGAGAAGACTGAAAACAGGGTTGACAGAATATGCTTATTTGGAGAGAGTAAAAGAACATGAGTATAAATGGGAAGCTAGTGAGCTACCAGCAATTTTGTACCTGGCTTAACAGTGCTAAAATTGCCCTCAGCTCAAAGTTTTTTGCTGTGGTCTGTGAGAAGAGGCAGCAGATGTCTGATAACAAATCCTGGAGGATTTAGGTAACAATATTCATTAATGAAGGCTAGCAATCTGTTAGGCAGACTCTAGATGGAGTTTCTCTTGGCTGCTAAAAGAACTGGACTCTGCTACTCAGTCAAACTTGGGCTCTCTGGTGCTTACCTTTCTTGTGCATGCACCTTCTCCTCTTGCTAGAACCAGTTAAGCCTTGTTTTAGAGAGGGAAACACAGAATGACAGTGGAAAACAGTTTCTCTCTCCAGGCTCAGTTGTGCCTGCCCAGGCAGGGTCAGTGTCTGCCTTGCAACAGGACCAAGACCTTTTGAGAGACCTCAGCTCTCAAAAGGTTGTGTCAGGTTTTACAGTTCAAATTAATGTCAAGTCTTGCAAACGGGGGAAAAGTACGGAGATCAGGGGTGAAGCTCACCTTGCTGAGAGCCTGGGGTGTGCTCAGGGCTGTGTCTCTGCCAGCTAAGCCACATACCTGTGGCAGGATGGTCGTTGATGCTGGAATGCTGCCCACCAGGTTCGTTCCCCGAAGCCAGCTGTGCTCTGCCTCTGGTGTCACCTGAGCTACAAAAGAGCTGCTTGGTTTTGTTTGGGTTTGGTTTTCATCTTGTCAGGTCTGCAGCTCTGACTGGTGGGGCTGTGCTCTGGAGCGTGTTAGGCTATGTCCTATTCTGACCTTTCTTGTGGCACTTTTGATATTTTTTTCCTTCTTGCTCCTTTGCTGGTGGATGCAGGTAAGTGTGAGGCTGTTCACAACCAGGGGAGGCAGCTGTGGGAGAAGGGATGTTTGTGCTCAGGGAGCTGCCTTGTGCTGCTTCATTGCTGCACATAGATGCTGCACTGGGAACCTCAGAGGTGGGCCTCCTGTCCTCTAATTCAGTTTTCTTTGTCCATTAATGAATTCCTTTAAATACCTTAACTTCTGACTTAATTTGTGGACTCTTGTTTCTGCATTTTTCTCTGTCAGGCATTTTCTGTTAACTTCTTGCTTCAACTATGTTTGCTTCCTTCTTCAGCTTTTGTTTCAATTCTTGCTGGCTGTTATTTCATTCTCTTCCTCATTCTCCTCTTTCAGTTTGCTGCAACTCTCCTGTTTAGACAAGCAGTTATTCAGCCATAGTTTGCGTGGGAAATCCCCTGTCCTCATTTTCTGCTCTAGTGGTCTCTCACCAGGACCTGGCTAAGGGGAAAAATCCAATGAGAGCAGAGCATTGCCCCTTTCCTTAAACCCTGGCTGTGAGGGAAGGTTGCACCAGTTAGACTTCCACAAAATGAACTCCCAGTGATCTTAATTGTCCTTCACCTACCTATTCTGTGCTTTCACTGAGCTTATGTTCTTGTTTTTTAAGGCTTTGGGCTCTCAGCTTGAGTGCTGCTTAGCCCATGGTGTGAATGCAGCTTGTTTTGTCTTTTGGGGACTGAATGCATCAGCAACTCTTAACTATGCTTGTATGATGAGAGGGTCATGTCACACACCAGTATTACTATATTACATCATTTTCAGTAAGATACATCATAAATCAGGTAGATTTGTGACAGTGGAATCCATCCTGAATAGAAATAGGGGCACTGACAAGTGAGCCTGCTAAACTGTGGTGCTGTGCAACTGCAGTACAGAGGCTGGAGGCCATGATTCAAATGGCCCTTCTCAGTGTTGTGTGCCTGGGTTTCATGCAGCACAGCTGTGAAAGACCTGGGACTGCTGCTCAGTTAACGAGGTGTTTCTCACATTGATGGTGTTTGATACACACAGGTGGTGCAATTGAATAATCTTTCCAAAGAGCCAGTGTCCCTGCCAACTTTCTAAACCTCCAAGGTTTGATTATGGGAGGGTATGAATGAATCAAAACAGCAGTGAGCAAAACATGGCTCTAGAACTACAAAAGCTGTGGTGTTTCTTTCAGCATAAATAAACACTGGAGATCTGCAAGTTCTTTATCTCAACTATCTCAACTAAAATCTTCATCAGTGAATGTGTGAGCATATAAAATCTGGTCTCTAAACCGCAAAATATTTTGCAGTGAAGGATGCTCTATATCAGTCCTGTAAATTTAACAACTGGCTAGAAGAGTAAAGCCTCCGCAAGGGTTGCAGCTGAAGGCAATAAGTGAAATACATTAAATAACTTTAGAGATGTATACAATAATGAAGGCAGTTGAGGAGGGGGAAAAAGGCAAAGAGAAGTGTGATTTCTGGTTGTACCTTCCATTTCCAGTTCCATTTAAGATTAAGGATCACATAGATAATGAGAAAGCTGGAGTACCTCTCCTATGAGGACAGTCTGAGGGAGCTGGGCTTGTTCAGCTGGAGAAGAAAAGGCTCCAGGGAGACATTACAACAGCCTTAAGGGGGTCTATAGAGAGATGGGGAGGGACTCTTTGTTAGGGAGGGGAGTGATAGGATGAGGGGTAATGGTTTTAAACTGAAAGAGGGAATTAGGAAGAAATTCTTTACTGTGAGGGTGGTGAGGCACTGGAACAGGTTGTTCAGAGAAGCTGTGACTGCCCCATCCCTGGAAGTGTTCAAGTCCAGGCTGATGGGGCTTTGAGTGACCTGGTCTAGTGGGAGGTGTCCCAGCAGGAGGGCTGGAACTCTTTAAGGTCCCTTCCAACCCAAACCATTCTATGATTTGAGTGAATCTACACAAATTAAAGTTGTGTTGTTTCTTTTTCCTGAACTATAGTTGATAGAGTATCTTTTTGGGCCCTAAAGAAGGGATCGTCTTATCACAGAGGACCCTTTTGTAGGAAAAAAAAAATCACAATTAAATCCTTACATCCTACAGAGAACAAAATTATAACCTTGTTACATAACTCTGGAAATGGGGCTAGTATTCTTCATTAACTGTGTGTGTTTAATGATATCTAAAGTAGGCCTTGTAAAACTGTATGCCTTAGATTGTGGATTGCTTCACTGCTCCCCTTATTGTAGCACAGATCTATTTATGAATCGTAATATCTTTAAGATCATGGCACACAACTGCTTCAGAGGCCTATAAGCAGGAAACAAAAGACTAGCAGTATAGTATCTTTAGCTGATGTACTTGTCTGCCAGCTTACAGTCTGCTGAAATAAAGAAAAGCTGGAAAATATTGCTTAACCACTTGGTTTGAAGTCTTAACTTTTGATTATTAGGAAAAAGCAAACCACGTATAGGCAGACAGGGTGATTTACCCTTTGGCATGGGCTGCTCTCTTCCAGTGCACCGCATGGATGGGATGCAGCTGAGACAGCTGCCTTGTGGCTTCTGCCCTGTAAGGAATCTACCCCAATCCTCCCCCACCAGCTGAAACTGAGTGCTCATCCTGCCTGCTGCAGGCATTGCTGTATTGAATGCAATCTTTGATTCTAGCTGTAATGAGCCTACGCTAAAAAGTCAGTTATTTTTCTCTGCTAATCCTGAGGTGTTTTTCTCCAAGTTACTCATTAATATATTTTGATTTTAGAGAACTAACAATAGAGAAAAACTTATGACAAGCCAGATATATTTATCCCCCTGTCTTAACTGGGGGAAAGCTATACTTCCTCAGCGTCTCATGAGGCCAAATGCTGAAGGTAGCGATACTGTTATGCCAAGAAAATTGGTTTGCAGCCTACAGAAGCAGTGTAAACTTTAGGACATCTTTCTGAAGCTCAGAGGGGTCATTGTAACATTAGAAGGTCCCCCAGCAGGATGCTTATGGGAGGTGGTGGCCACCCAGCTTGTTACTTGGTCTCAGTTGTGGTTCCTCTGAAGATGTTTAGCACAGGGCAGAAAGAAAATCTGGTATCTGAATTAGCACCTGTCTATATAATTTGTCCTCCTCCAAACTTCAAAATAACTGATTATCATGTAGTAATTTTTAATGCCTACTTGGAAAGGTCACAGATCTAGTACCACTCAGGGAACAGAAAAACAAGTTTTAAAATATTACCCTAGTAAATTCCGAAGTGCAGCCACCAAAAGGCAGAACGGATCAAAGTCTGCAAGGCCTGTTTCATATCAGTGAATTGAGTTATATTTTCTCTTGTTTCTATCAGGATACTCAAATTAGTAACTGCAGCATTTAATGTCAATCAAAAAGTACCTGAGAGCAAAAGACACTCAGTTGGAAGCAAACAATCAATCTGGGCAAAGACTGTTTGCCTTTTTTCATCTTCAGTTCCAACAGAAAATCTGTAATTCCTTCGTCTCGCTCAACATAGTGTTTCAGGTTTACACCCATATTTACATGCTTTTGAAAAGAACTGATTTTGTGTGACTTTTCACTGATTTCTGGAGTTGGATGACTTCAGGCAGGTAAGGACCTCAGCACCCGCAACAGAACAAATTCCTCACTGGTGAATTACTCAGTGTTCTTACTGAGTAAAAGCCCTGCTGCTAAATATTTGTAAAGCAAGCATAAACATGCCTCAGGCTGACACTTGCTTATAGGCTTGTGTGACTGAGTATTTATGGAAACACATCAAGGAAATTAGACCCTTGACTAATGTCCAAACAGGTGAATTCAGTGTTTAATTTTGTGCTGGGTGGCCTGCTTTAAGATTTTTGTTTCGAGTGTTACTTGAAACTCTTGGCAACAGCATTGGTTCCTACCCCAGATGTTCTCATAGGCAAGAAAATACTGACAAATGTAGGCATATGGATCTCAGCAGTAAGTATCACTTGCAAATACCTGCCTGGAAACACATATGGGGAGGCTTGGTTTTGCTGCTGTCCTTGAAGCAGATAGCGGGTGTTTATCATGTGTCTTGTGAAGGAATCCAAATTTGTTTGATGGGCTCTTCCACATTCTACTTGGGGTGGGGGGGAGGAGGAAACAGGAAAATGGTTCCTACATCAAAGAAAATGATCGTGGCTTTAAGAAAGACCAATCACCCAGGACAAATTTTCTACAAGAGCTCTAGGCCATCCATTGTACTATAGATATACTTTTGTATATGTACTATATATATATCTCTGTCATATTTGAGATCAAGTCCTTCCTTTTTCCTCCTCCATCCCTAAAGGCAGGGCTCCTATTCAGCATAAGCTTGGATTTTCATTATCACTGAAACAGACTGAAGCTGGAGCAGGCAGTACAAAAGAACTTCTACAAATCATAGTTGTATTGGGACTTTTGGGAACATCTTGCTCACAGACTTATCATTTCAGAATCAAGCGACAGTGATCAATCACTAGTTTGCCTGATGAAGATGAATACATTTGGATTGGGTGAAAAAACACAATTAATAGTACTAAAGAAAACCATATATCTGAAATGTTAAAGACTGAATATTAGTTACCTCTTTACACAATCATTTTTGATAGTTTAGCGGGTCAGCAATTCCACTTCCATATGCCAATTTAGTATAACAGATGAAACTAGGTATGTGATACTGAGGTTCTGGCATCTTGTACAAACAGGGCTTATAGCTCTTTATGTGGGGAGGGGTTTTATTATCTAGATGCGAGAGCTGTCCAGTTAGGTACACAGATCTACTCAGTTGCTTTAGCACAACTGGAACTGCAGAACAGTTGGTGTTTTGCAGAGGTGTGAACACGTCTTCTCCCAAAAATATACTAATTTTAATGGAAGAACAAGTCAAAAGGGCTAAACTGGGAACAGCGATGAACTTGTTCTGCCTCCTGTTCTGCTCAGTCAGTGATTTCATTCTTTAGCTTTCCAAGTAGGGAAAGTGAGTGTTAACTGTGTACATGCTCTCTAACATAACTGCCAACTTCCTATTAATATTTAAAGATAATTACACATGTATAGACTAGTTTTCTGAAGAGGTCATCACTGCTGCAATGCCCGCAGTGTGCCTTGTAACAGCGTGTGGCTGCAGAAAGGTGAATTCCTGTGCTGCTTCTGCGACTGTGTTTTGTAAGCAGAGGTAGAAAGCAGTAGGAATGTGAAAAGTTCTGAGACCTGGATTTCTTGCACAGTGATTGACTCAAAATGAGGGTGATGATAGAGGTAACTATTACTGCAAGTTGAAAGTGTCACTTAAAACTCCTATAAAAACCAAAAATGAAATTAATGAGTTTAGTACCTTACAGAAAAGGCTGTATTTCAACTTTGTAAAACCTCAGAAAGATCTAATAACACTGCTTTGATCCCTAGAGGGCCAAACCTTTCAAACCAAAATAGTGTTATGAAAATGTTCAGAATCATAAAATATTAAAAGAAATATCACTGAATTTGTATTATAAATGTCTCCTCTACAAGTAACAACTGGATACAGTGCTAATTATAAATATTTCAGTATTTATTTGTAAAAGGATTTCAGCATTTATAAAGCATTCTGTAGTTTAGTCTGATTACTTTTAAGTAAAACCTGTGTACATTTAGCTTTCTGGGAATCAAGTCTGCACATGCATTTCTAGCTGCAAATCTAACTTAGCTGCAAATCTAGGACACAAATGTTGCTTAAATAATTTAAAAAATAATGAAGTTTGGGTGCAGGAATCAGATGTATAAAATTTGGGAGATGTTAAAAAGAAAAGTATGAAGACAGCATACTTAATAATGCAAAAGCAGTAGAACACACTGCTGGGACTTTGCTGGTTTAGTGGCAGTATATTTCACTTCACTTCTAAAGTAAGGAGGTGACTACCATAAAAGTTAAAATGCAACAGAAGCGTTTCTCTGCTACTATTAAAGTATGCATAAATCACTTTTTCTAGACATGTACAGTCTGATTTTTCTATTTCATCTAATAAGGTGTTTTTGTGTTACCTTAGAGTTCCTGGCATATGTCTTAAGTTTTCTGACTCTTGAATGTATTGCGGAGAGGGATGTTATATGCCTCTGAGTCAAATAGACTTTTCCTGTTCTGACATATTTAGACTTTTGAATAAACTTATACAAGCTGGTGGCCTGCTAAATTTAAAAATAAATGAGGGATTGCTTCATGTGGTGCTCTTGCAGACATAGTCCTATAACCATTTAGCAAACTAGCTTGATACTAGTGAACTTAAATTACATGACAAGCAACTCTGTATTTTCCTCTTCATCCCTTTGCTGCTGACAACCTTGTAACCAAATTAGAACTAAATTAGCTATCCCCCTTATTCTTGCAGAAAGGCCAGCAAGGGGTTGAATATGAGTTGAACGTTTGCATCGCTCTCAGCTTGACTACCTGAAACAAATTCTGGCTTTCTCTAAAAGCTCATACAGCCCTGCAGTCGTTCAGTTCTTTTCGTTCCACTCTTACCTGCTCGGCGTCCTCAAGGTGTCCTGCAGGTAAAATGAAGTGGCTTTGTCTGGGTGTCCATCCTCTGCTGTCAGGGAGCCAGAGCCCGTCTTAGAGGAGGTGGTGTTCAACCTGCCAGACAAACCAGGGAAGGTGAGGGCAGTGTCCCCTCGGCTCTGCGAGGCTCAGGTGAGTGCAGCAGCCTGCACAGGTACTTGTTTGTACAGCGGTGCCTCTATCACCTCCCACTTGGTGCTCTTAAAGTGGCACAATCCTTTCCAAAGAAAGGATGAAGCGGTACTGCCTTGACCACAGTTTGCTCAGGCTCAGCAGAACAATAGCTGGCTGTTCACACGTGCACAAGCTGCTTTAGGAGACAGTCACTTGTAGTGAAAAATAATGGCCCTTTTCTTGCCAGGAAACGAGTTGGGCTTTCCTTGTACATCATCTTATTTACCCAGAAGTGAGTAATCTGATAATAATAACCAGTCAGAATCTGAGTAGCACATGCAGCCTTCAGAGCATGAGGGCTGATGCTCCTAAGGTTATTGCAGATCCAAGGGGTTCCTACACCCAGCTCTCATCCAACCAACGTTCAACAACGCACTTGCTACTTACAAGCTTAAATTTATTTAAAAATTTGAAAAATCACAACTACAGTCAGGCTGCTGCAGTGTCTATTACATGGGGTAAAAAACACATAGAAGCCCTTTCAGGGCTTTGCAAAGCCAGCTCTGGCTCTGCTCCTTACTGCTGTGGAGGTGGCACTAAACAGCTCCTGGGAAATGACCCTCTTATCAGTGCACAGTACTGCACTTGTATGATGGCAAGGAAAGATGTGAAGGTCAAACTTTGGCCTGGGTTAAAAACCTTTTGGTGGGGACACTGAAATCTGGGCAACTATGTGTCTTGTAATGGAGATAGCCAAAGGGGTGCAAGTTTGTACCTGCTGAAACCAAAGTTCAGGCTTCAAGCATGTTCCTTTGGATCTCAGTCACCTAACTGGCAATAGATTACTTTTTTTTTTTTTAAATTCTTACAAAACACAGAAAACATGAACTAGGATATTTATACAGGAAATAATGATTACTAAGAATCATTTTTGTGATAATTTTTCTAGAATTAAAAAAAAAAATTCTGAACATTTGTTTTGGGGCAAAAAAATTTTCCACTGTGCAAGGCAGCATCAGTAACTCTTTTTCCCATTTCAGGGAACACTTCATGGAGAGTGAGCAATATTTGCTTGCTTTGAGATTTTAGAGGCTCATGTATTACCACAAGTAGCTAGAGTGTCCTAAGGGGGCCAGCATCTGTAGCTGTGGAGTAGCACATTGCCCTCCTTCCTGAGAGAGCCACAGGGGGAAAAGTCTAAACACAAGGTGGTGGGGGAACATTTCTGCTGTGGCACGTATTTAGACTGACACTAAAAACAGCCCATTTCTCTCTCATACCTGCAATTAGCTCTACTTTTGAGATGACTGTCTAAGCCCCTGGAGATAAGCAAGATAAAATAAAAAAAACTTACCATGGCTGTTGAAGGGGTCCAACTTCATTCTCAGGCTGATGTTAATCATTGTAAACTTCCTAAACTTGATTGGAATACAATGAGTGGAAAACTACTGTACGAGGCCATGCCTGTGGTCTTGTTTCCTTGTGCTCATGGCAGAGTTTGTTTCACAAGAGGAGTCACGCAAGGCTGAAGCCTGTGGGCGGGTGAGCTGATGGGTGCAGGCAGTTATTGGTGAGCTGCAAACCTTTATAAGAAGAGTTTGAAAGTGAAACAGTGCTTGTGGACTCCTGAGTCCCCACTTCCACTCTACATATCTGTTTCAACTGGTTTAACACAGCAACATAACAGTCTGCCTAGATCTTACATAATATAGGATTCAGCAGGTTATATTTTGGCTATGTTACCCAGAAATAGGGTGTTCATTAACAGCTTGTAGCTCTCCCTTTGTGCCAAAGAGATGCAGTGGACAAACTCAGGACTTTGCTCACAAAAGTTTTCCCTTTGCATCTGTTGGGATAACTACAGATCCTGGAATAGGGAAACGTGGTTCTATGCATTATTATCAAGGCCAGGTTAGATGGAGCTTTGAGCAACCTGGTCTAGTGGGAAGTGTCCTTAACCCGGGGGAGGAAGGTAGGAACTAGATGGTCTTTAAGGTCCCTTCCAATTCTAACCATTCTATGATTCTGTTGTGATGAAGGATTTGAATATTCCTGGAGTGAATAATTAAGTAACCTGTGGAGGTAGACCGCCTGCAGGCACCAAACTGTTCAAGCAGAAAGGTGTCTTGGTTTGACGTTAGCCCTGTTGCATTAATCATCCTAAGTAGATACCTATAAGATAGATTGCTTAGTTTGCAGAGAATAACAGCAAGAATGATTCACAGGCCATGACATCAAGCAGAGGGCTGAATGGAAGCCAGAAAGATCCATACCTTGTCACAGAGCAGGGGGTGAGAATGTATACTCAAAATATTTGAGTAATTGAATTTAAGCCGGTGCAGGAATGCTGCGCATGGCCAGTTGCTGCTCTGGAATTACAGCAACGTGCACAGCTACAAGGCAGCCCCTTTGCTGGCCCCTGCATCACCCCAACTGTGAGCTCCCCTTCACTCCCCAGTTACTGTCATACTTTGGCTGTTCTGTCTCCCTGTCGCACGGAGGGTGAGAGGAGCTGGTCTGGCCGTAGCAGCAGGTACTACCTTGCTCAGCTCTCAGCAACCAAGCTGGAACTAACGTTGCACATACGAGTGTGACTGATAGCCAGGAATTCGGATTTATGTATATGGAGGCATGTCCAGATGTTCAACCAGCTTTTCTACTGTATCGTGGAGCCTGTGCAGAGCCTTCACTGCCTGAGCTACATTGAAGTCAATGGCTCCCAGAGTGAGGGGGGAAAAAAAAAAGAAAGACATCTCTGGATGTGCCTGTTGTTATACTGCACAATTCTGGGTCTAACTCTGGGAATACAGAACTTCAGTGGGTGATTGGACTTCAGTAAGAAAGTTCAGAAAACTTTGTCTCGATCCTTTAGCTTGAGCAGGAAGGTGCAGGCTCTGAGCAGCTTCTGCAGTGAGTGTAGAATGTAGGCTGCTTCAGAAACATAGACATTCACCAAGCTTGGTCCCATAGCAATCCCAATGAGGATTTGCCAGAACCTCTGTGGTGCCCACAAGTCAGCTGTATCTGAATTCCTCTACTATTTCATGTAAAAAATTGGCCTTGTCATGGCTCTGCTGATCTCTCTGAACCACATGAGCACTGTAACTCCTGTTGGCTTCTGCGGTTTTTTTCCACATACATCCCACATGGCATGGGACCTTGGGCTTCTTGTGCTGCTACCACTTTGAGGCAGGAGTTGCTGGAGGGGCTCAGGGCAGGTGGCTTCTGGCCACCATTTTTCAGGTACATGAAGGTTGAAGACCTGCTGACTCTAATCCTTTCCCATGGGAAATGTAAGATGGGTGAGTCCCCCCTTTTGCTCATAGCTCTGCATCACCCTAGCAGCACTCTTTATTTCTTCTTTCAGGGGACCTGTTATGGGTGAAGATGGCCAAAAAAAATACAGGCTGGGCAACAGCAGTAGTACTAGGAGTGTCTGTATGGGTAGGTTTGGTGAAGAAAACTTACAGAAAGGGATCAAAATACACACAACTTAAGAGGCTTGTGGGCAAAGGGGAGCTGAAAGATCTCATGGTTGTAAGTGACCTCAGATACGTGCCCAAGAAATCTTTTTTGCTCTGGTGATAAGTCAGCAGGCTGACAGAGCCCTAGGAACCCTTGGACAGGAGTATCAGAAACTCAGTGGGCAACGAATAACAGAACAGACAAAATGGCCTCTGCTTTCATTATAATTCGTTTCCTCTTTATGGCTAGCATTTGCTTAAAAGACAAATCAGGCTAGGAAAGACAGACTTCTATTTTTCATGCTGCTTTATCTGAGTTCACTAGCTACAGCTGCAGAGACAAGGGATAGGTAGGCAAATTCCAGGGAGCTGCCAGACCACAGCGGGGGAAGCACTAAAACTGACAGACAATAAGGTGATACTGGTTGCACTTTCTGTCATTCCAAGTGCCATCAGTGTACATCTCCACGCATTCCTCTTCCCCGTTGCCAGCAGGTTCATTTGAATACCAATTAGTATAGCTCAGCTCTGTACCATCCAGGAACTGGAATTTTCTTGGAATTAGAGATTCTTTCATCCCCAGGTAGGCGTAGGTATTAGCTTTTTTCACAAAGTACAGAATGGCATCATTCTCGCCTGGGTTCCTTGGAGTGGCAATAGACCCTCCAACCTCTTTGCATTTTTGAATCGTAGCGTCGAAATTATCTTTTTTCCCATTGGTAGCAAATATTTTCCCTCCAGATTCCGTTATCATCTTTTGTAAACGGAGGACTGCAAGATGAGGTGAAAGCTGTTAATATTTTATGAATTGTTTTGTGGTCACCTTGCTGCCAATTGCAATTCCTGCTATTTTCCTCCTTAACTTTAGATTAAACCCAGGAAAAAATAAAGGAGAGGACAACTTAAAGATAAAAGAATAAAGACAACCACCAGAAGCTAGAAGAAATCTGAAAAGATGAGGAGAGGGTAAAAAGGGAAGAAACATAAATATACAGACAATGGAATAGGAGAAGCACAAAAGAGGTTGGAAGAGTGAAGGAAATGAGGAATTCTACATTTGGAAAAAGCGTATTATTTTCTTTGAAACTTCTCTGAGAAGGTTTGCAGCATACTAGGTCGCATGTCAGTCCTTGAGTGAGTAGAATCTTAGATGTGATCTGGTTGTGATTGTGTTTTGGTATGTTTTTAGTATTAGGTTTGTTTGTTTGAGGTGCCCATGGAGCACTTCTGCATAGGCAGGGATTTTAATCTGATAAATTTCTGTCTTGCTTGCCAGCTTCAGAGCTGTTACCTAGGTGTGTCCCACCGGTATGAAAAACTAATCCCCCCCTCCCATTTGAGAGTTATCACTCTCCAATCTACCAATGACCAAAATATAAATTAAATGCAATAAAATGGCAGATAATTCTGCCTTTTTCCTAAGAAGCCATTTTATTGCTCATCTTGTTGATGCCCACTGATCCAGCTACAGCAGAAAGTAAAGGCAAGTAAATTACCTCCTTCGAGTCTGGAAATCCGATGTTCTAACTGACGGATAACATCTCCCACTTCATTATCAGCCAGCGGTTGGGAAACTATGAACAGAAACAGCTATTATGCACTTTGTGTTACAGTTTGAATATTGGCTTTAATGATAAAGCAGAAGTCATCATGAAATTAATATGAATTTTAAAATTGTTTATTTGACCTGTTTTAGTTTACTGCTGAATTTTAAATAGGGGATCTTTTCAGACATTGATCTTTCCTGATACATTCCTGGAAACTACCTGTAGGGCAGTGATATTTATGGAAAACTGGGATTAGCAACTTGAGCTAGTCTTCTAAAAGTGACTGAGCCAGACCAGGCAAAACACTAGCACTTGTGCAGTAGGTTTAGTCAATTTTTAACTGTGCTTAGGAATTGTTGACAGAATCTTTTAGGCTGTTCAAGTACTTGCTTGCAGGTCCAACCTAACACCTAGCAACAAGTTTCTTGTGTTATGCGAAATGATATCCTTTTTTCTGTGAATTGAACCATTGCATCATTAAGTAGGAGACATTTAAGCATCTTACTTAATACAGAGAATTAATAAAGATCTGTTAATTTTCTATCAAGTAGAACCTGCATCAGATTATACAGCATAGCACTGAGTTTACAAAGCATAAAAATGGAACACAACAGTACATTTAGATAGAAATGGAGGTGGTAACTGCATACCTGGTACAAATCCTTCATCTCTCCCATTGCCAAACAAGTGCCCCAAACCGGGCAGTAGCCAATTTCCTGCTGGTTTACCTTCAGCACAGCATGGGGACAGGAAAAGAGCTACTCCCAAGATTTTGTGGAACAACCGTGGAGACAGCATTATATAAAGCCAAATGTAAAACAGACTGTTTTACTCTCCAGCATAGAATCCTGCATTTAAAAAAAAAAAAAGCAGTGTTTCAGAATTTTGCTGTCTTTGGTCTGAGATATGGATGTCATTGATGTAGTAGCAAAGTTATTTCAAATAGTTAAAGTATTTTCCAAAAGTCTTACTCTGATAGTCTACAAGAGTTTAAGCTATCGAGTCAAAAATCAAAATATCAAAGCTATTTTTTGTACACCAGATACCATTACATGCCATTTTTCCCATGCAAAAAGCTATAGTTTCAGTCATAATTTTTACAGGCGCACAATATACACTTCAGTAAGAGAAAGCCTGGTTAAGAAAAAGTGGAACATGTTGACTTTACCAATTGGCTTAAGAGGAAAATAATTGTTGAGGCTTATTCTACCATGGCATCTATCTTTTAAAGTATCTTCACCACCTCTGTAAAAGTAGGTAAAAGCTGTAATAAAAATGTTGAGAGACAAAAAAAACCTAAAATGGAAAGGTTTGTGATACAGTCTAAGAGGATTCAACATAATTTAAGTGGAAACCTATTTTAAGATGTTCAACTTACCTAGCAGCTCCAATATGAAATAAGGAAGACTCATTAAACTGTCTAATTTATAGGGTATGTAACTTGAGATTCATCTTGTTATGTACAGGAAATACAAATAGCATGTAATATAATACGGATTTGCATATGACTAGAAATTTAATGAAATTTAACTTGACTGATAGGGATGTGTTTTCTTCAAGAGGTAAACACTTAAAATGTGAGAAAAATATTTAAGGGTACTTTCCTGATTTGTAGAAACATTTTCACACGTTTTAAAAAACCCACCCCTGGAGCAGAACAAAGCAATTTCTCAATACATATTTGAAATACCCAATGTTTCCACAGAACGGCTGTGTAAATGTTAAATCGCAAATGTCACTGAAGATAAGCCAAAACAAGGAGTTCACCTGAAATATAATATGCACCAGGAACACCAACATCATTTTCATTACAGATTGAGGACTTATCAGTGATAATTATGTGAAGTCTTATAACTACATAGAATCTCATAATTGTAGCAGCGAAGCCAAAAGACAATGGTACATCTCCAGCATATGTAACAGCCACAGAAGCCACAGAAGAACATACTTCAATAACTCACAGAATACTCCAGGAAAAGTTTATAAATCAAAAAAACCACCAGTTTTATCCAACAGAACAATGGCCTGTTAGTGAAGGAGAAAGCTGCTCCAAACCAGTCCTGTAAGCACAGAGGCCTCAATATGCAGAGCATCATCACCAAAATAGAAATGCTTTGCCATGCACTTTTAAGTTAGTCTCAGTTGAGAGTTGTTTCTCTCTAATGAAGCCTTTTAGGAAAGGAGTCTGAAGCTGTGCTCCAGTTCAAACAGATATGGTGCTGTCACATCATCTTTGTGGTGTCAGGCCAGCATCGTGATGTTGCAGAAATGCTAACAACTGAGTTAGTTGAGAAATAGGTGCTTTTAGATTACATAGGGAACATCAGCAATATCCCTATTAGTCTAAGGTGCTGCTGGATCTAAGTAAGCCTAGATTACCTCCATAGGTACTCCACACCTGGACCCTGCACCTTCATACTTACCTCAACATCTGATGTAGAGTCCTTTGTCATTGGCACTGGGCCCACAGAAGCCTGACTAATTCCTGCAGCATGTTTATTGAGTGCCCTGGAAAAGGCACCAGTCCTGTGAAAAATAAATAAGCAGTACCCAGGTGCATGTACCTTGACAGAAGAGGGCTGTTTTGAATTTTCATAAGTAACCTTTGTTTAAAGTTTCTTGTTAAATGTCAAGTTTCTCAGCTTTCGAGTGTTTGACTTAATGCTTTTAACATTCTCCTGGCTGAGGTTTTCTAATTGTTTTATGGGAAAAAAACCAAACCAACAGAGAACATGAGACAAGCCATTACCTGGGCGGTCCAGATGAGTCCTAGAAAAGGTCATTGCCAGAACCTGGGCCTTTGAATCCCTGGTGAGAACAACTAGCACTTCAGCTGCATCTGGAAAAATCCACAGGTTAGGCAAGAGTGAGAAGAGGATGAGGTTTGGCCTCCATTAGTGGGTTTCATGTGCTGACTGATGGCCTGGGAAACCTGGAGGGAGACAGAAATTTTCTTGTGTGACAGACTCTTGAGAAGAATTAATGTAGATTTGATAACTTCTAAACGAAGAGGCTAGAAACTAAGCTAAAATAGATATTTAAAAATACTTACATTTTTTTCTGCAGTTGATTGATTACCAAATATGACAGTTTTATAGAATACTCTAACTTGTAAACTATTTTCTGATCTTGCTTTGTGACATGTATCACAGAAGCTCAGCAGGATTCAAGGATACAGATTTGATAAAGAAAAAACAATTTATTATTATTGAGGCAACTTTTCTTCTGTGTTTCCACATTAAGAGATATTATAATTTCAGTGGTAGTGAAGCAAATGGATATTCTGACAGTAGTATGTGTTACACAATGTAGGTAGGTAAATGCAAAACATACTAAGGACAAAAGTTGGTCAATATAGAAATATAGGCATAAAAGCTGAATTTTAGTTTATGAAAGGAGGTGTGTGTTCTGTCCATAAGCCTGTTTGTTAGCCCTTCCTTTGTATACTTAGCCTCCTGAAAGTTATTTTTGTTTCCTTCACAGTGCTAGTTACACCGCAGATAACCTTGAAAATTCTTTTCTTATTCTCTCAGTTTGTATTTCAGTGGCCCCAACTCAAGTTATATTTTTTTACATTGATTTTGTGCTATTCTGCTATTGTTTCCATCCTACCTTACTATTGCCTTGTCCTGTGCTTTTTACATTTGTTTTTCTCTTCCAAATAACTTTCAGACTGTCCCCAGCAGCTCCCTTATGCCTCAGAATACCAGGACGAGCACAGAGCATAAAGGACCTGGTGTCTCCCCTTCTCAGAGGAGGTTAAGGCTATTTTTGCTGAGCTTCAAAAACAGGAAGCAAAGAATTCAGAAAGATATGGATACCTGTAATGGCAAACTTCAACCTGGCTTTTTTTTTTTTTTTTTTAGAGCAGAAAGTCTCAATTTTGCCTGTAGACCGTGTGATCGATACTTGTAAATATTGTTGCCATCTTGAACCACTGAGAAGTTATTTGTGAAGGATCCAAGTAGAGGTCACTAGATTTCTCTGATTTGTCACTTGGTGCAGCTCAGCTGAAAAACATGGAAAGAAATAGTTTTGTGTTTATAACAAATAGAAAGCAAGACAATAGCTTGTCTCTTTAATAGTTGTTAGTAGCAAAATAGGCTTGTAATGGGAGAGAGAAAAACAGCCTCATATGAACCAGATGAAACTATTATTCCATGTATTCTGTAGTTATTCTCCATTACCTGCAGAGGAAGGTTAAATTGTTCACTATGGTCTTTACTACTATAATTACCATTGCTGCAGCCTCCTCAAGGGTTAAGGTACCCTTGCTGTACCCTCCTGAGCCACAAGGGCAGAGATGGGTGAATGTTTCATTCCAGATTTTACTTGGCATCACACCTGGTTTATCACCCTTGAGCCAGTTCTGCCAAACCCTGCTTTCCTGACAGGGACTTCAAACCAAATCCAAGTCCCCTTATCATTATTAAAGGTGCGACTCTAATTTCCAAGCATCCTGTATTGATTGTGCTTTAAACCCAGGCATGTTTGTATAACTGTAGGTTAATATGATTTTATAACAGTACTTTTCAACTTCTGATAATGAAAATCATTGCAATCTGAAGCTCTTTGAGGTCCAGACAAACATGCCCGTTATACCATTACACAACGCTCCCAAGAACATTGTTTTCCTCTTGTTCATAAGTGTAGTAATAGGGTCATTATTCTTTCTGCCACTTCTCACTGTGGTTTCAAAACCAGCTAACAAATGTCCTGGTGGCAAATATTTCTTCTCCTATTTGCACTTACTCTTTCTTCTGAAGGAAAGCTGCAAATAAATGTAAAATGTACGGTTAACCTTTACCCTGCTTTGTATTTGCAGCACTAGTAGGGTATCTTGGCAGCAAGTACTGGTATTTTTCCATGTATTTGTTCTTTTCTCTCAAAAAGAACAGAAGAATAATGTAATTCTTCTTAGGTTCAAAATTAAAAATAAATAAAGGAGGCACTGGTCACAATTTGTACATGATAAGGTGGCCCTGCCAGCCTGTGTCACATCCTAGCAGTGACTATGTTCACATAAGGTTGCATTTGAACTCAACTTTCCCAAGAACCATGGGACTTGGGTTTTTAAATTAAAATTCTACAAAAATCTGGAAGCCACAGCAAAATACTTAGTTGCTGTAATTGAAGGTGAATTAGTTTCTATGTAGTAGGCATTGATGGGGTGGGGGAGAAGGTTTTGAGTGCTCAAAATTGCTAATAGTATTTCTAAGATAGAACACCTAATTAAATTATACAGTTATAAAAGAGGATATCACTCTACAGAAAATTTTCTCTGAAATCATTTCTATGGCCATATAAACTCTCACTGCTAAATATACTGTAATAACAATTGCATTAAATTTCTCTTATGTGATACACAATCCATTTGCTTCAGGAGGGACTGAAGTTTTGTGACCTTTTAACTCGTACTAAGATGTTAATTCTCAAAATTTGCTTTTATAGCATTCGAGAAGTGAATAAGTTATTTTCTGAATTAAACATCTTACTGTTAGATTGCTTTTCTGCAGGAAATTATTATAAATTAAGAAAAAAAGACAAACCTGGATTTTTCCTGGTGTGGTCATTATGCACTAGGGATTATTTTTACTCAGTTCATTTCTAAGGAAATATATTTTATCAAAAATTATTTATCCTATAATAATAGAACAGAGAAGCAATTTATTCTCTTTCTTCTTGAGCCTGATCTCTGTGTCCATTAAAAAACAATGTAAGTCCATTAATACCTAAATGCAGAATTTGAATCTTTAACAAAAAAAATAGACTGAAATGCTTTTAAGCATTTTAAACTGCATTTGAGGGTTTAAATAGACAGAAAAAAATAACAACAAACATCTAAAAGAACAACATAATGATTTCTGGAGGCTTTTCTGTTCCTCTGGGGAACTGCAAAGAATAATCAAATAACATTCTACTGAGTACGTACCTTCACCAGGATTTTTATTACCACGTATGAATCCCATGAAGTACAAATGCATTCCAAGCCTGTCTGTAGAACACTGCATTTACTAGGGAATTTTATTTCTTCCGTATATATGATACTGGACGCAATTTTTTATAAAGACGGTGGGAAACTGGCAGATGTCACCTTGATATCTTCAGTTTTATATGAGGCATAGTCAAGATGATGACACAGAACAAGGAGAGCTGCTTCAGAGTGGAATTAAGGGGAAGGCTAGAGCATAGCAAGAGAAGAGCTGAGTATGCTGTTATATGAGGATATTTTGTGAAAATAACTGATGAGTTTCATTCAATTACCTGAAATATTACAGATCTGAGTGCGAACTGTAAAGGGGAAAGTGCTGCCTAGCAGTTCTTTGACTGCATCCAAGGTATTTTTATTTTTAAACAACATAGGTGCTTTATTTGTTTGTTTTGTTTTTGGTTTTTTCCTAATAGTAATGACTTAAGCAGAAAGAAATTGGACTCTGAGACCTAGCCTAGATGTTTTGCTTATTATGTAATAAAAATTAGCTTTTGACTGAGAAAATTATCTTATTTCCCTTAACTGGATAAAAAGTAGCCAACTGTCTTGAATCTGTTTAGAGATAGGTGATATGTTGTGTTAAGCCATTTGTAAGATTTTACACATTCAGGATTTTAACAAGAGGTTTTTATTTTCTAAACACAAATGCAGTGGAAAGAAATGGTTGATTAACTAAAGAAATAGGATACTCCAAGCCTAGGTGGAGATTTATGTAAATGAATATGTGAATTTGGTATAGATAATCACTCTACTGATGTGAACTTTTATTATTTGTTGGTTTTTTTGGTCTTTCTCCAACATGATGCCTTCTTTTGCCAGGTAATCATCTTGCTGTAACAAAAAAGCTGTATGGATGAAAGACTCAAAAATGGCTAAAAAGGTTTACTCATTAAAATACTAATAGTTAAAACACAGAAGGTAGAGGTAGTTTTAGGTAAACCTTCAGCTCCTTCTAGCAGATTTAGTGCAGCTGGTCAGAGCTAGGCCTAGGAAAATTAAAAGTTATCAATTTAGCCTTATCTTTTCTCAAAGTAACCTGAGAGTTAGAATTTTTGTCCATGGTGTGATCTGTTCCCTTCCCATTTGAAAATTTTGGCCAAAATGGTATCGTGGTCATAGGTCTCCAAGGAAGCTATTTTGTAAAGTGGGATGACACTTTGAAATCTGTCCAACATGGTACCGGGTGTATTTTTCTCAATTCAAAGTCCTTGTCAGCTGGAGCGCTGGATGCAACGCTGGACGTGGATCCCTCCGCTGCTAAAAGTAGCCCCTTACCTCCTGCGTCTGGAGACACTAAAGCTTTCCTACTTGTCAGGGCTTGAGATGACCCTTTGAAGAGATCACATCTCTTCCTCAGTGCAGGCCATGGACAAGGGACACCACCACCCAGAGTCAAACCCAGGTTCCTATGGGCTCTCTGCACAGAGCCAAGCGTAGGGGAGGAGGAGAAGATGAAGTAGAATAGAATAGAATAGAATCATAGAATCATAGAATCATTGAGGTTGGAAGAGACTCTTGGGATCATCGAGTCCAACCATCTACCCTACTCTACAAAGTCCTCCCCTACACCATGTCCCTCAGTACCGCATCTAAACGTCCCTTAAACACAGCCAGGGACGGTGACTCAACCATCTCCCTGGGCAGCCTGTTCCAATGCCCGACCACTCTCTCTGTGAAGAATTCCTTCCTAATGTTCAATCTAAACCTACCCTGTTGGAGCTTGAAGCCGTTCCCTCTCGTTCTATTGTTAATTACCTGTGAGAAGAGACCAGCCCCAACCTCTCTACAGTGTCCTTTCAAGTAGTTGTAGAGAGTGATGAGGTCTCCCCTCATGTAATTTATGCATGTCTTTTAACTCCAGTGCTTCCTTTTTATTTTTTTCATCAGGTGGTGTGAAAACGATAATGGATGGGCCCAGGACTTTCTCAGTGCAAGGTTAGTGTGTAAGAATTTGCTACTTAGGTATTTTACTGAGCACCCACTGCTCACCAGCTACCCAAATGGAGTGATGGTAAAAAGATTTTTGTGAAAAGGTGTTTCTTGATCCTAGCAAATTTGAATCATGGTTTGACTGTGTGCTTGCTTGGTGTGACATTAGCAGAGAAACAGCTTGTGTTTGAACTGACTGAACTTCCAATCTTACCTGTTCCCCCAAAATAACACGTGATGGCTCAGTGGTTTGGGATAAGACAGGTGGCTTTCTGACACTACAATGGTCATAGTTTTATGAGACAATGCAGTGTTCTAGCAAAACCCCACAATCTTTAGTATTTTATACACACATTTCTATGCCTACATGGATCTAATGCAATATTTATCCTAGTGTTTTATAGAGAGTAGCTTCTGAATCTAAGAAAATTAATTAACTGGTACTGTTAATATTTTTATAAAATAAAAGTTAAATATGAATGCTGAACAAATCAGTGCATGCTTCAATATGAAATACCACCCCGATAGTTCAAAGAGACATACAGAACCTGAGACTATAATTGCTCCAGTGAAGTCAGCCTCAGTGCACCTCTTTTAAGGCAGAAACTATTAAAGGCTTGAAAATGCTTCCAATATGAAGCCATGGGCAATTTTATCTTCAGGTTTTTCCAACAACCTAAGTCAAACCTTGGAATTGTCTTCTAATTTTCACAAAAGCAGAGAGACAATCTGCCACAAAAAATTAATTGAGCAGTTCCTAACTCCCCAGAAGAAACAAACACATCAGATTAGGCAAATTTTATTTAAGTTAATCACTTACTATATTTGGCATTTTCTTATGGATAAAAAATACCGTACTATGATTAATTTTAGATTTCCCGACATAGAATAATTGCAGATATTGCATAAACCTGAGACATAGGATATTTCATTGCCTCCATACTCTCAGGTGGCTGAAAGGCCACTCTTTAAAATTCACAGATTGTGAGGCGACGCATGTTGCATTTTTTGTCATTCCAGCTCCCATCAGTGTACATCTCCACACATTTTTCTGTCCCTTTGCCATTAGGCTCATAATTGTGCCACTTGGTGTAATTCAGAGGCACGCCATTTAGATACTGAAATTGACCTGAAACCCGACTCTCTGTAAAGCCCAAGTAAGCATATCGGTTATACTGTTTCACAATACCCATAATAGCTTTATTCTCCTCCTCATTCATGGGAGTTGCAAGAGTTCCTCCAGCCTCTTCACAGGATTTTAGTGCAGATGCAAAATCCACTTCCTTCCCATTGCTGGCAAATATTTTCTCTCCTCCTACTTTTATTTTCTCATTCAAAGCAAGCACTAAAACATGAAAAGAAAAAAACCTGGTTAGCTTTTTAAATTTCCTATGGCATTGATGAGGAAGCAAAAAAAGAGAAATCAGGAGATGAAGAGAGAAAGAAAAGTTGTAAGGGGAACAGAGGAGGGAATAGATGGGAAGAATGAGAGTAAAGGATGAAGAGGAATTAATATCTTCAAAATATTTGCAATTCACTAGTTGTTCACTAAGTACATTGTTATGCTGTTTGCGACCATTTGTTATTGTCTTCTCCAAGACAAGGATGCCCCACTAACACTTGCTGCATACACTATCAGCCCTTCTTATATATTGTATGTAGTCTCTAAAGAGGATCAGCCTGATCCAAATTTGAGCAAGTGAAATTGAGAATGATAACTTCTGTGAATTCCTTCTCAGTACAAAAAAAAATTACCACCTTTAACAATTTGGCTGCTGATAAAAATGCTAGCAATGTGGTACAAAGCTGAGGAGTTCCCATGAATCCATGTGGAAAGTGCAACATCAGTTAGAGTATTTTTTAAATAAATCAGACTTGAATCAGTGCACCTTAGTGTTCCTGTGAGAAATTTGTTTCTCTGGGAAAAATGAGCCCTGATCTCCCCTACTTTGCATGAGAAAATGGAGTTTTGTGATGTAGTACCATTTTCAAGTGTGATTTCTTTCCTGCAACTCATGATTCTATAATTAATTTTTCCTATTGCACTTAAAAATGATTGTGAGCTGAAAAAGTAAAAATTGGAAAAATTACCGCCTTCAAGTCTGCAAAGTCGGGGTTTCAAATTTACTAGAACATTGTGGAGTTCAGAATCCAGCGAAACAGGTACACCTACAGAGATAAAAATAGAAGTTATACAATCAAGCAAAACTAGACTGTGCTGATAGGAACAATTCCTTGGATAAAACTAATCATTTACTGAAACTAAGTAGCATGCAGTGTATTTTTTTTTAACATCATCTGGTGCAAAATAAATATTTTCCTGGTATTTTTTCACACAGTTTCACAGTGTTGTTAACCTATATTAAAGCAAACAAACAAAACCCTCCAACCCTCTGAAATTCTGGTTAATTCCCCTCTGAAAAGTAGAAAATTATTTTTTCTAGTCTTCAGCCTTATGCTTGTCATTTTTGTGAAAGTGGCTTTGCCAAAGAGAATTTGTTTTATTCTAATAATCATTAGTACAGGCGCAAGGGAGATTTTTGAGAGGGAACAGTTCTCTGGCACCATACCATCTTTTTTATCTGCCGGGGGGATACTTTATGTTTTTACAGTAGGTTCTTATTTTAATGGAAACCATAAACACTGGTATAGGAGAGTCTCTCCAGCCCACACTGCTTGCTAAAGATGGGAACTCACTGTAAAGGTAGATGTGGTTTTTTTCATACAAATTTCCATGGGTAACAGAGGCCCTACTTGTAGAATAAAGTTACTAGTGTGCTCCCATAATCGTGTTCCCGTTATTAACAACTAAAACAGATGGCAGCGTATAAGCACAAAATATTGCTATAACTCCCTCTCTCCAAGAGGCAATGTTGGAGCTCTTACTGCACTTCACAGTCAGTAAAATCCAGCCTATTTGACCCAATAAAGAGAGTCCATTTGAATGACAGAACATTACATGGACATCAGCATCTTTCACATGGTGGTCCAATATCCCCTTTGTCTTTTCTCACCTTGCGACCAAGGAAGACGATCTCTTCTAAGAGGCCCCAGGAAGTTTCCAGAGGGTCTTGTGAGACCTGGAAAAGAGAAGCATAATTTTCTTTCAAATGTGTGCATATTCTGGGAACTTCAGGACAAAACAGAACTTAATCTCAAACTGAAATATGTTACATCTATGAATAATTTTAATAGTGCTTCAGCCTTGGTAATGGACCTGGAGAAAGCGTGTCTACATAGAAAGAAAATTACACGGTGCAAAGTGTGCTCCTTACCAGACCACTTTTGCACACACCATCTTTGAATACTAGAGAAACATGCCAGAAGCCTTGTAATTACACACGTAAACACTGGAATAACATTGTCTTCATACTTAAAAAAAAAAGAAAAAGACTTCTCCTGTGAAAGAAGCAAGTCCCTTTGGAAAGTCAAAGGAAAAGTGCTTTTCCTTTGAGAGAGGCTTATCTTTTAGAAAAAAATAATAAACTGTCCATTTCCTCCATTCATTTTTTCCTTTTCTGCTTAATGCAGCTGCTTCCTTGAGGTCACATTCCATCTGTATTAACTGGTTTTATTCATGCAGCCTTCACAACAAGGATTTGTTGCAAAAAAGGGAAGTTCACTTACCTGTTAGGCGTTCCTGTCCTTTCAGACCATCTTTTCCAGGCAGTCCAGGGGTACCAGGTGGCTCAGGTATTCCTGGACATTCAGGCAGTGCACAGCAAGTCACTAGCAAAGCAGCCACTGCTGTGAGCGTGTAGGATGAGTAAGACAACATGATTGCTCAGGCCAGCTGTAAGAAAACCCACATATTTGTCAGGCAGTGATTCCGTAAGAAATTGTAAGCATTGCTGTATATAATTGAACAATTTCCCCTCTTTCTCTTCTTGTAATTTACATCCTTTGCTTGTTTAAATGAGAAATTTCCCAGATTTATTTTGCTACCATTGCATAGCTTACACACAAAACTGGTTTTAGACTGATACAGATTGGTATGCTCATTACAGAATGACAGCTACATGCTTGGGAGTAGTGAAGACAAATCATCCCTTTTGCTATCACTGACTATTTGTTGGATTAATCCTTGAGAAATGATGGGCTCAGATGTAACTGATCATGCTTAAGCCATTAGTTGCTGTAAGGGCTATAATCACTCAATGAAACGTAGATGCATATGCTACGAACCTGAAAGGCACAATCTGTTACACCGATTGTTGTGATGGTTTGGAGCTAGTTAGCAATCTCTTTAAGCGCACTACTATTTAAGCACATTTATTTGAAATAAGCAGACTGATAGAGTGTTTTACACACGGGCAAAATTTTACAGCTCAATTGACATTCCTGTCTTGTTTTGAACAAAATTCCACAAGCTCGAAAATGTCAGAGTTAGTCTTGTAGAAAATGCATTTTTGCTGGTTGGCAATAGGCCTATTAATCTTATTTTATCCTTTCAGATATAAGTAGGGTTATAATCTCAGTGCTGAGATATCATGAGTAAAAAGCACTCTGAAGATATATATTTTGGGTAGGCAGCTCTGGTAATGCCATGCAGTTATAAAACCTTAACTGATGGACTGTAAGACCCTATGGGATGGAGATATCCAGTTATTAGCATCATTCAGTTAAAATAATGAGAGAGACAAAGAAAAGTTCAAGATGCCAGGGGCATCCCTTTCTAATGAGATGACTCTGATGGGTTCGCTCTCATACAAAACATGTAACTTAATACCCGTGACTTCCCTGTTCTTTTGGCATGAGAGAGGATCGTGCACTATGCTCTCTTAAAAAATGCCATCCTTACAAAAATTCATAATTTACAAGATCATTTAATTGCCACATAATAATATCAGTTTGTTATTATTACCATTTTTTAAATGGATACACTAAAACTAGTCGAAGTTTTTTTTTAAAAAGTATTGTTCACATTTTTCAGACTGACTGTATCACAGAAGGCTTTTTATATTATTCTAAATCTGCATCAATACTGACTCTTTTTAATGGCAAAGTTCCCTTGTTTTTCTAGAGGAACGTATCATCAAGATAAATTCAGTGGGACATACCCTTGAACATAAGAATATTCAATTATGTCAAATTTCAGCATTTTGCGTATAGAATCTGTTTAAGTAATAGCATTGTCTATTCCTCATGGTCAAGAATTTCCACTTTAACAAGTGGAAACTTCAAATCCACCTGAGAACACATGTGCTGTATTAAAAGCGCTGCTGAGTTTCGTGTGTTAAATCTGAGGTGTCTCAAGTTGTTTATCCTTTACTCTATTAAAGGCCAGCAGACACCTCTGACATTTCTGGCCAGTGGCTCAGAGAGCAGGTTATTAAAGTCTCCAACAGAAAGCTACCTTAGGTGACTAGGAACACTTACATCCCTGAGATAAGGAAATGCAATTATAACAGGTACTCTTCGTCTAGTGCTGATCATTCAGGGAATTAGATTTGAATGGACTACTGCATCCAGCTCATAATTGGATTATGATGCAGAGTCAGAGTCCTGATCAGTTATATAGCAAAAAAACCCCACTCTTCAGTTTTAATCCACTTTTAATGACCTCATCAATCATTACAATCTGGTGTCCTTCAGGCATCTCCTCATCTACTAAAATTGCTAATACAAGCAAAGTAAAAAAAAATACTAATAAAGGAAAACTTAATTTTAAAATGTAAATATGACCATGGAAATGAAAAGGAGCAGGTTTGCCTTCTAGCTGAAGTTCCTTGTCATTTATTAATACGAAATTCAACTTACCCTTCTGCTTCAAAGTGAAATGAAAGAGCAGTTCACACAAGTCCCCTTTATACAGTGTCATGTTTGTTGAATGACACCACTGAAGTGGAGAGTGAATAATGAGCGCACGAATGAGCCTTTTGGTTTTGATTACACACTTGTTATGCAAATACTGAAAACAATTTTAAGAGTTGGGAAATTTCTTTTTCTTTTATAGGAATAGAAAGCCAAAGTTGGAGAAAAAGCAATCTAGAAGTAACAGATAACTCCAGATTTGTAGACACATACAAACTGTATAAAAACTTAATGAAACTTTCAGTGATTCTAGTAATATTGTAACACTTTTTTTCTTGCTTTAAAAAAGCAAAAATGGCATATGACCCCCAGTGGCCCTTGTAGAAGGAAAGGTGCTCTTGTTAATTAGGGAAGCACGTTACCTTCCATATAGAGTCTGACCTGATAATCTGAATTCTGAACTTTGTTTCCCATCTCTGTATTTGATGTATTTACCTTATGTTAATATAGTTTTCTAGTTGTGTGAGCATCTGGTCTCTTTTGCATGTAGAGTGCAGCTGATCCTCACTTGGTCAGAGATGGATCCTGGAAAAATCAGTATACATGCACAGGAATCTTGAAATGGATTATATTGAAAATATATACGAAAAAGAAACCAAATGTTTTGGTCCTCTGATTTCCCACAATAAAGATTGGGATCTCCTTCTGGTTCTGATGCCCACTACTATAAGGACATTTATGTTTGATCCTGGCTGGGGTTTGTTTTATGAACCTCAGCAACTCAACACATCAGTCCCTCACCTGTAGGAAAGAAATACCTCTGCTTCACAGCTTTTCTCTTTTGCCAGTTTACACTGGGGTCTCTTGAGGATAGAACGGTTTCTACTTTTCATTCGTATTTTACTAAAACTACCTAAGTTTTGTCATGATCCCTAACTATAGTGTCTTTTTACCCAGCAGAATTCACAGCTGTAAGTTAACATCTTTAGGCTCCTCGTTCAAAAAAGAAAGAGATGTTTTGTATTACCTAGCTAAGAGAAAATACCAAAGGAGGAGAAATACTTAGGATCCCCTTTAGAAGTAACTTAGTCACTTAAATCCAATTCCATTCACTACTGCAAGTCTCATCCTGCAGTTAAAACTGCTCAGCATGGTCTGTCCCCCCTCACAAAAAAATTCACAACTAAACGCTAAATTGAAGACATACCAGTGTACTTTTAAGCAAATAATCAAATAACACTCACAAATATGTATTATAAACAATCTGTCTTCGAGTCCTTTCACGACCTGATATGCAGCAAAGCTTTGAGTGCAGGTTCATCATTTTACAAAACCTCTAATCCCACCAGTTGAAACTATTTCCTTGTCCAAATGAGGTAGATGAAAAGAACTGGTGTTAAGTATATAAAATGTGGAATAGATACTGCCTGGTAGGTAAAATACCAGGCGATTCAGCACCATCAAGACACGGGTAATTCAGCAGACCTCTGGGGTACCCATAGCTCTAAGAAATTCCTGCAGTTGCAAGATGAAACTTAATGGATCCAGATTTTGGGAAGTAATATTTTAAATTATTAGATGCCCAAGTTCTTGGGAATCTAACTTGCCAGAACATACTCTTATATAGATCCAGTTTCTAGACCACTCTGCAACAGTTGTAATGGTTAATACTGTTCTGTGGTATTACTGCCCATATACATCCTCCAAATACATATACATGCAACTTGAATACATGAACAACACGATGAATCTTCACAGAGTTGTACTATTTCTTCCACAAAAACCAGTTTATACTTAAAAAGTATTAAATAAAGAATTGGAAATATTAATCAGGAAAGCTAGTAAAGCCCCACTAGCTACACACTATCTGCCCATTCAGGAAATTATGGCATGAGCAAAACATGACTAATAATGGCTTAAGATGTATAAAATCTTTATAAATTACTATATTTTCCAAAACTTTCAAAGAAACATACATTTGATAACAGTTCTTCTCCCATGAGTCATATTTTACTTACACAATGGAAGCTGATAAGAAATCTAAAACAACCCAACACGAGAGATTACTTAGTCATTAGATTTACTTTCCTTATTTCTGTGGTAGAGAGTTAGGGAACACAAATATACTAGAATAAGGAAGAAAGAAAGTAAATATTTTTTCTGCAACCTGGAACCCCCGTAGAATAGCTACCAGGCTTGGTATTCTGAAATTTACAGGAAAACCTGTGTGGTAATGGCTGAAGATCTTTAGCTGGGTAACACCCACAAAACCCAGCCAGGGAACTCTACTGGTTTCAGTGGGCCCCACGTACTGCATCCTTCTTTCTGTTTTAAGCAGAACAATAAGTTTCCTTCTGATGTCCCCTAATGCATTAAATATGCTGTGTTGTTAATGCCAGCAAATTAAACACAAACCCCACAATGGCCTTGGGACCCTTGGAAAAAAGGGAATCTGATTTTCAAAGATGCCATGTACCTGTAAAGACTGGTTCTTTATACAGCAGCTATGCGTGCTGCCCTCAAAAAAGTAATTTGAAAACTAATAACTGCCAAGGTGGTTTCAAAACCAGAACCAATTTTATATAGCTTTCAAAGCTCTAATTTTCAGAAAACAAGGTGAACTCTCCATTTTGCTCAGCACACTGTTTTGAAATGAGCTGATTACTAACAATCTTATCATGTCCCAATCTACATAAAGCTGTGCCGTGCCCTTCCACATAAAATGCAGTGCTGTACAGCCACGCTAGTTTATTTTAGCAATCTGTGAGACATTAATCTTAAATGTGTCACTGTGCTGCAAGTTCCTGATATCAGCTCTCTGAGCTTGTCCTTGGCACAGCATCTGGGTGGTAAGCAGGTGTGGTCAATTCTCCATCTTTAGCTTTTTCAAAAGAACACTCATTTTTTTAAAAATATTTGTCCACTGTAATCTATCTGCTCTGCTGCTACGGATCTTGAAATCACCCGGACTTAGGTACCTGTAGTCAGTTTGAAGAAGACTCATTGGCATCAGCTTAAGCCTTCATCAGAAGTCTAGGGAACTAAACATACATCACCTATTAAGTAATGAAACAATACAATGGGTAAACTGCTGCTTCCTCCCTACCTGTGGTTTAATTTGATTGAGACAAATCCAAACAATAAATATGTTTTCTCAGAGCTTTTGTTAAAAAAACAGTCCTGGTTCTCTTCTGCCGAAAATGTATAACCTTAAAGCTATGTTAGCAGAAGAACTTACTTGTCCTTTGTTTTCAGATTATATCTGATTCCTTCTTTCTCATATACTTGAAGCAATTGATTTAAACTACAGATTCATAGTCAGCATACTACAGAACATCAGAAAAGTGGCCTCTTGGATTATATGAATATGGTAAGCAAGTCATTTTGACTGGACCACTATTTCTATGCCTTGGGAAAAAAAAAAAGAAAAAAGAGATAAAATCAACCAGAGCACGTTAAAACAAAGGCAGGAAGCAGCTCCTGGTTTGACATAACATGGCAGATTTTTAGACACAGTCTTCTTCCTTCAGGAAGCAACTACTCTCTCCCATTTTTCCTTTCCATATTCTCTCTCCTGGTTTAGTAAAATTCTAAAGGTAATGTAATCAGCTTCTGTCTTCTCCTTTTAGAAACAAACAGAAACCATGAAATAATCTCAGGATAATTAATAATAATAAAAAATAATATTAATATCAGGCAGTGATTTCCTGTATCTTACCAGTTTCACAGCTAAGGAAACTAAAGTTTAGAGAGATGCTATCCCTAGGACCACCAAGCAAGACCGTTTTTTTTCCCAAAGCACCTATTCATTTTTCCATCCTCTAGGCCTGAACTGACTCTACAATTCCTCCTTGTATCTTCCATACTAAGCATGTAGCCCTATATGGGAATACTACACAACAGCATGGGAGTACCTAATCCTTGGTCAGCAACACAACAAAATTACCCACAGCAATATCAATTAGTAGTGTCATGACGGAGAAAATACTGCCTTTTTCTTACTGGAAATAGTGCAAAGAGCAATTATCAAGGTGTCCTGCCACATTTTGTTCCCATGGAGATGAACTGTACCATGTCCCTCCTATCAAAAGTGGTAATAGGAAGCAATTTATGCTTGAACAGCCACTGGCCAACATTGCCTTGGAAACATATGCTTGTAATTCATATCTTGCCCTTATAAACAGCCACCTGGCCCTTGTTATCAATTTAAAATAAAGATAATCTAGCCTGCAGATAGCAAAAAAGAATCCTGCTAAACTGTGATTATGTTGTTATTGCTGGGAAATGGTCCATCTCATGTCTCACTGATAAGTGTTACAACATATATATCCAAAAGCATTGTCAACATTTTATTTGCAATTGAAATTCAAAGTTCTTGGGAGAAACTTGAAAACACATAGCAAAAAAGGCAAAGTTACAGATGAAAATAATAAACTCACCAAGCTGCTGTTAAGGTCTGATGGTCACAGGAAAATGAAGCTGCTTTGCATCTTACTGAATGGACCCCCATTGGAGATGAATTCCCAGGAAACTCCCCATATTGTGGTTGTTCTTGCTGTTATGAGCTGAAAGTTAAGACAATAGGCATTACAGAATATCATTTTGCACTGAACTTTTCAGGAGATTGACCACAAAATTCTGCATGTTTTAGCTCATTGTGTTGTTTGAAGCATATAGTATTTAACATACTGAATCAGTTTCTTTTGTAACGGCACACTTTTAGATTCTAATTAGTGCAAAAGTATAGGGAAACACTTCATATCTCTTTGGTAAGGCACTTAATTTGCCTTAACGGGGTGTTGAGCCCCGTACAGAGCCCATCCTGCTGAGTACAGGGAATGCCCCTTTCACAAGCTCAGTCCACATCCATTGTTATCTTGGACAATCCTCTAAAGCTGAAGTGGATTTTAAGCATTAACTTCTAAAAATTAGTTTTCAAAACCTGCAGAGAACAACTGTGCTCCCACCTGTTGCAGCTACCAGTGTTACCACGCAAATGGTACATTGCATTTCTCTAGCATCTACTTCCCCAGCTTTGTTTCCACACAAATGGGGCTCAGCTGCCTAATGACTTCCATCTTTTAGTTATGTTACAGTGGCACAGTGCTGTGCCACTGTAACAGAGATAAATGATATAAACTATTATACTTTCTGACGACTCACACAATTTGCCAGAATAAACGTCAAACTCAGACCTATTCTGAGAGCATTTGACAAGGATAAAACTTCAGGGCTGCATCATTCAAAACCACTGGAGAGCTCCCAGTAACTGAAGACAGAGTGTGGTATACAATTTTCAGTGAAGTGATATGTAGTACACTTAAGCATTGTAGACAACATTTCTTAAATAGCTTTTACAACTGCTATTGTGTGTTGCGCTCGCAACTTTTCTTGCCATACGGAGGCCTGTCATACTGTTGGCAACACTTAATGCCCATTTGTTAAAAATACAGGTTCTGCTTTTAAGATAGATTTTAAAGCATGAGATTAATAGGAAAAAAACATTTTCACTTTGTAGAACTTTCCAATTGAAAGGCTTTTAAGCTTTTTTCACCATTAGTCATGAAAGCTAGAAATGCATTTTAGTCTTGTAAATGAAAGCTGAGATTCTCCGGATGCTGACAATTGCAGCTTTAAGCTAAATCCCAGGTACTAGAAAGAGCACGTAGAGGGCAATCTGATGTTTCAAGGTAATATTTGCTTTACTGGTTTTTGATGCACAAATAAAAGATCTACTTAGCAGGCTTAGGAAGTAACATTAATAGCCCATCTTTTTTTCCAGTTTAGCTGTAGCTCCGTATAATAAAAAAGTAAAGGGGCAAATGGTTTTAAAAATGCATAACTTGTTCCTCCTGCCTCCTTTCCTACCTTTATCCTCTTTACCTGGCTCCCATGAATTCACACAGCTGCTTAAGCAGGGTGGAGAGGGCATAAGAGGATAGAGGGGGTAAAAGGTTGGGATCTGTAAGCAAAGTAGCATTGTCCCACTTCTGACATACCCACATCCCTTGCACGGATGTCACTGGATCCATAAAGTGCAAGTTCGTAGACAACCAAGAGAGTTAACCATCTCTGAAATGCGTTCAAGTACAAGCTGTGAGAGGGATTAGGACAATTAGGGATGTAAACAACTGGGACTCATCATGGTACTCTTGCTGTAAGTATCCAAAGAACAGGGTAAATAAGAGACCAAATTAAGGCAAAGCAGCCCAGGAAATAACGGCAGCTTTGGGGTTTTGAGTGTTGTGAGACAGTACTCATATTCATGCATTTTTTTGCAGCTTTGTGGTAATATTTTCTGTTACGGCTGCAAGGAAACACCGGAATTCAGTCTGCTGCCCTGATGCAGGCCCATTTCCATCAAGCTCAACGTTAGCACACTCAGACCCTGAAATCAGACACATCGATGTGGGTTGACTGCTGCTCTCACATTCTGTATACGTAGTCCAGCTTTTTGAAGTTTTATCTGTATTTAAAAACCCTGGAAGAGGATGCCAAGCAGCTAGACACTGCAGAGTCTTCCTCCCACTGCCAAGCTGCCAGAAGCTTCTTGCAGGATTAACGCACAAGCTCAGCACCGTGGGACAAACTGTGCCTCTGGTTGAAGGCATAAACAACCCAGAGCACGCAGCCAGCCAGGAAAAAGCTCTCACAACTGTCTACCCTGAAGCACTGATCTAAACAGCTCAAGCTACCGATGTCTGAAACATCACTAGGGTCACAGACCATAAAAAGAGATGTTAAGTGTAGGTGCCTCAGGATAAATTCATCCCCTAGAGATAACACAGAGGATCCAGCCACGCTGCTACTGCTTAGAGACTTGGCAGAGAGCTTAAGAGGTACAAACCTAGGTACAAGACTGTACCTAGGTTTTCAGGCTCTCCTGTATTATTTCTTCTCCTGGGCATTATTGGCCAAACTACAGTCCAGGAATTATTTTTCTTTCCTTCCATCTCCAGGTGCTAGAGCCACTTCAGTAGCACCAAAGCGACAGACCTGCCTGCGTAACACTTCTCCTCTGCACATTTCACACTGGAGGGTGTTGCCGCCTTCTGTTAACAGGAAAGAAGCCAGAGCAAAGGGTGTGTTTCTCCTCTGCGCTGAGCATGTTAACCACCCTTTCCCCTGTATTTATGTGGTATAATTAAAAAACAAAGTGTTAAGTTGCTACTGATTGAAATAGCTTCCTGTTTCCACCTTGTAGTTCCCACTGAAAATTGCCACTTGAAAAATAAAGTGAAGGAAAAGAGCTTTTCAGAGATTGTGTTTTTCACATGTGACAGGATAGCTCTTCCTAAGCCTGTACTCAGCCTGAAATTGTGCTGTTTTAGAAAGATAAACCCAGCGGCTGATTAACAAATGCAGCTCTCATCCTGAATTACTCAGGAGCTCTGCGGAGGTCATATTAGCACCAAATGAGATGGTGCTAATCAGGGGTATAACAGCAAATACAGATTAGTTTATAATTAATGCAAAATTAAGTGGTCATCAGGGATGCTGATTTAAGCCTCTTGGAAGATAATAGAACACAATTTCAAACTTTCTCTCTCTTTCAGCACCTACTGAAGAAAGGTGTCCCTAAAGAAACATGTTCCTAATGTGCAATGTCAGAAGGGTCAGAACATCTGATAGTACTTCTCATTGAATTTAAAGGTTTTAAGTAATACAACTTAATCAAAGCTGATTTTCTATTTGCAGGTCTTGTTCCTGCCCTGTGGTCTGAGAAGATCAGCCTGCTCCCATGCAATGCCCTGCCAAAGCTCACAGATTTCAGCACTGCTACTCTGCTCCTCCAAGCAACAGCTCAGGACAGGACGTGTTACCGGGTAAGCCCAGACTAATAGAGCTATACTTTCACTTACACAGCTGCATTTCTAGGCAACTCCATCAGGGATGGATTGTCCTCAGTGTAATACAGAGCAGAGTTTGGTTCTCTAGAAAGGAAGTTAGTGGCTTCCCTTCTGCACAGGAAGCGTTTCAGCTGGGAAACTATCTACCTTGAGATGGTTTACACCAGGGGAAACCTACAAGGCAGGGAATGCTAGGAAGAGGGGAAGGGATACCAAACTGAAGCCTGAGATATCTGAAAGGCCCAAGAGATGGCCTGCTGGGTGTTTATTTCAAGCAGATTCAAGAAATACACCTTTTATGTATATGGCCTGATAAAAAAGTATATGGCCTGATAAAAAAGTTAGTTATCTGATAACTTCGGACTGCGTGAAACTGAGCATACAATATGAATGTTCTCCCATTCTGCTTTCGTGAACTCCCAGTGTTTTTAGCATAGTAATATTTTTGCACTTACCTGCAAAGAGTTTTGAGGTCTGTATACATCCCAGCTGAATGACGTGTAGTGGTCTCTGAACACAAACAACATAAGTTTATAAAGAGCTTTATAAATTTCTAACAACAGTATTAGAGATTTTCTGGGCAAAATAATGTAAAAATTAATCTAAATTACATTTCAGAGCTAGACTCTTGAGAGAGTGACTGACATGGCAATTAGGAATAGTATTTCTAAAAAAATTCAGCTGAAAGAACACAACCATTCACATCTGCAAAATATTACTCCAAATCTTTTTCAACTACTGGCTAACGCACTGGGGGAGTAATATATCATTGCTCTTAGTCCAGCTCCAAATGAAATGGTCACAGAACATACCACAGTGGGTTTTGGATATGATCTCAAGGTAGACTTACATAATCATTCCAAATATATGCAATGGAGACTGAATTGCCACTGATCCCTAAACCTGGAAGTACAACAGAATTGTACCTACCCCCTAGAATGTCTCTTTCTTGTCCTAAATTAACCCAAATCTGTCTTTTAAATATTGTCCCATATCCTGCATTTTCATATAATTAATATTAATTAAAAACTCCCAGGCAAAATTTAAAAACATCTTGTTTTCATAGCTGCAGGATGCCAATTAATGAAGAAAAGGAATTTAGTTCACTTGAGAACTGCAAAGGTACCTTGCCAGTAAGGACAAGGAGAACATGATGCAGATCAGCAGATACATCATACTCTAGAAAATTCATATCTTTTACCAATTTCTGTAATTTATTTTTTTACTGCACCTGTATAACCTGATGCAGAGAAAAGAAATGTCATTATGGAATTAGGCAATGAAAGTAGCAGTTATAAAACAGATGAGCCGGGTACCAAATGTTCCTCTGTACAGATATCTTCCCATGGGTCCACATAACTTGCCAGTCCTTTCCATAGGGGTACTTAGCTTACATGTCTTAAACTAAGTGGAAGAGGAATTAAAAATCTTCTATTCTTTCATGTTCGAAAACTTACAGCCTGTACGTAAACATCTTTCTTAATTGTTGAACTTCTAGTATTGGGCTTTGTTGTCATGCTATTCACCTATTCCTAGTTAATCCAGTCTGTAGTTGACCTTTTTGTAGTTCACTTGAGGTGAAAGAAGTTCCCATCAAGAAAATCATGATTATCCCTTCTCTCACATTAAGGACCTATTCACATAAGTAAGGCCTTTTGCCATTTTCCTGCATGAGTTAAATTCAATTTGGAGTACATTTCACCAGCAGGCTCTTGCATTTAAGACAAAATTTTTCTGCTTTCTACTGCATTTAAATCTTGATCTAAATCTCCTGTACTTCAAATGATGCCTATCAACTACCAAAAAAGATCATCTTGTTCTCTTTGTGGCTGTCCTACTGCACATAAAGCAACCTGGCTAGGCATTTTACTGTTTTATTCCTCTTTGTAGTTACATTTCATTTTCCTATCAAATGGGAAAACCAGCAAAAAAAATAGCCAAAACAGACCCCTGTACCCATATGACAAATACCACTCTAGGCTCTAAGTGATAACTAGCAGCCAATAAGTTAATATTGGAACTAGAGTAAAAGCGCACTAAGACCAAAGCCATCACCAAATGCTGAAATAACATAGGACTGTATGCACTATCCATTATTTACATGGTAAAAGGACGTATAAGAAGAAATATGGAGAGTAGTCTCTCCAAGTTTACAGCTCAGGTCAGAATGTATACAAATTTTTCATTAGTTTCAAAATTATTAAAAAATGCTTCCCTCATGCTGCATTTATGAGGAACTCATAGAAAGGTATATACGACAATCAGCATGCTAAGCTTGCCATAACTCATTAGCCTTACTACCACTATGCTAAACACAACTTAATTCATAACAATTGAAAAAATTAAATCTGTATTTTATTTGGAGATTGAAAACTGAATGTCAAAGAGAAAACAATTACAAATACACTCTAGTTCTGGTTACTCCAGGCCACCTTTATGGGATCAGACCTCTATATCAGCCATGCAAGCGAGAGCAAAAACTTTGTGTTTCCTTAGATTCATCAGCTCAAAAATTCATAAATAATTGAGGCACGTGAATTTGAATAATTAACATAATTCCATTTTCCAGAGTCTTGTATTACTGCACAGTCTTCATTTTTTCGATTATTTGGTTCTCCAGCATTCCAATTTGTGTAAGTTACAGCCCCTCAATTCAGATACATGAACCTGCCTTCAGTCTGTTAATCAGATATTCTGATATTAGCCTGCTTTGAAGGTCTTATTAAGTCTTTTAAAGCTGTATTCTCAGCCTTATTCCCAGGAGAGGCAAGTGCGCTTCCAGCTTTTTCACAAAGGGATTCCATTGTCAAAAGTGTCTTCTTTTCCAGTTGAGACAAATATATTTTCACCAATACTCTTGATGTTCTTTAAAAATCAAAGCTAGAAACAAAAGTAAACATAATTGTATTATACCAAAAGTTGATCAAGCTATCGTTATTTATCCATATCACAATTATGAAGTTGCTAGTACCAGCTATAAACAGACTATTTGTGGAAGTAGTAGGCAGAATCCAATAGAAGTCAAACAAAACAGACACCTGGATATATCAAAGCCTACACTTGAAAATTGGAATTTCATAAGAAATGGGATCCCAAGTTTTGTTCTAATGTTTTCCATTTCCAGTTCATATAGTTTTACAGCTCTTGAACCAGGATCTGCAGGAATTCACACTCAAATTGCAAGCATGACAAGTTTCAATGCAAAAATCACAGATCAATTAAAATAATACAAAGGAACTGAGCTGCAATGAGGAGATCTTCTATATCCACCAGCTTTATCACAGAAACCAAAGCTGAGGGACTGTAACAAAATTCAGGGTATAAAGCCACAGAGCAGAAGGAGGAGACATAGGGACAGCTTTTGAGAGCCTAGGAAACTGAGTGTTTCTCTAGAAAAATATAAATTATCTTAGGAGAAGTAGGAATATATAGCTCATATCCTTGACAGACCTTCATGAAGACAAAGGAAATGGAAAGTGAAGCTCTTGTTCATTTAGCAGATAAAACTGCTAGCAGCAATTCTTTTGAAACACATCTGCTGTCTTTAATGGGCAGGTTAGGTTATTTTACTGTCTTTAACACGTTTCTGGGATTAGTGTGAAGGGAGTCTACCACCTTATAACAATGATACAAAAACTGGGACATATACACAGTTAAATTTTCCCCTGATGTTGTGGGAATGGTACCAGCACAATCCCCTTGTGGGCAAGGAACCCCTGCCGTGCTCCTGTGCCAGGTAAATCCTCCACAATGGTTTCAGACACCCTTTTCTAGGCTGCTGATGCATGAGCACAGGAGGACAAAAGAGAGATGGCTGAAGAGATTACTGCTACCAGCTCTTCAGCCACTCTGTGCTCTTCAATTTCTTACTTCAGTTTTAGGTTATTTTCAGGCTTTACACACAACTATGGCTTCAAAGTTGTGCTTTCTCCAGGGAAAACACAGGGTGTTATTTAGTAATATATATTAAAATGAGTACACAACTGTCTCTGAGAGGCTTAGCTCTCCTGTAATCTGATGCCATGGGAGAGAGCTTTTTGGTTTCCAGAGCAGAAACCACAGGCCACATTGCAGTTTTGTTCCCTGGGAGTTTGTCCCACTGGGAGAGCCTTGTCCCTGACTGGGATGAATACTTGGGTGGGCTCTGAATTCTCAGGGCTGCCAAAGTCATTGTTTATTTAGAGGGAAAAGCCCAGTTCTCAAAGGCAAAACACACAGGTAAACATTTTAAAATGAATTAAAGTTGAAGTCAAAAATATATGAACAGGCAAAGAATGAAAGAAAAAATGCTGTTTATAATACGAGATAGATAATAGTCACAGAAAACAATAAGGTAGTGATTCATTCCAGACACTTTTGCCCCCTAGTTATGCTGGTCACCTCAGCTCCTACGTAACAGATGGTTTATGTTTCTGCTCCTCACACTGGTGGAAATCACTCTGTTCCTCAAATGATGTTATAAGAATACCAGACATTAACACAAATATTTTTTTGAAAATACATTAAAAGGTTGAAAACAAGAAACACGGAAACACAAGAAACTTACTTCTCACTTCCATGTTCTCCTTTTCCTCTTTTCTCTTCTTGCAGTCCTAAATTTCCTTCTATTCCTGTAGGTTCTGCTTTTCCAGGGAAACCCCGTAGACCTCTCAATCCTTCTCCTAAATTTTGATTTAAAATAAAATCATTTGAATGTTTTCTAAGTTTTTCTCCCACTAAATTTTCTTAGTGCTTAGAGAGAGTACCAAAAATTCCTTTGTCTCCTCCTCACCTTTTCCCCCCTCCTCTGCCCAGAACAATAAAAACAACTCCAAAAAATTGAATTGTTCCCATGGAAAGCTTCATTTGCTAGGAAATGCATTCCTTTGATGCAAAATTCTTCACTAATTATGGCACTAAAAATCCAATGAAAAAAATGCTGTCTCATGTTATTGCAGAGGTACACATACTCTAAAAGCAGAAAGCCAATATATTTCAGCTGTAATCCAATCACACATCACAGCATATGACCTAGAAAATGATCTAAATCATAAGACTAAGGATACTTCTGAAGCAGTTTGTTGAAACAGATAGTGATGGTTTTACTTCTTTCAACCATAAAATTGGAGAGGCATACTGAGGGTATGTGGACCAGAAAATGTTTATACAGAATATCAATATATGCCACTGAGATTTTATATCAAGTGGTATTCATAATGATGGGAGTTTGGTTAGAAGCTGAAGAGCAATTATCTAATTCCCAGATGTGTGGTATGCACGTGATAATACAGACCAGATACGGTAAGAATGTATATGATTCCATACGTATTTATTAAGCCTTTGGACAGAAACTAAAATTTGGCAACTTGGGAGAGCAGGTGACATGCTTCTACCACATGACAGAAAGCACTTGCTGATATATTTGCTGGTTGCAGCAGTGCATGAAAAATGTTACCTAACTGACAAATCATGCCTTGGGGGAGTTCTGTTGTTGGGACTTCATGAGTACAAAGCAATCGAGTTATAGCCATCAGATTAGTAGCCAACTCTAGCAAGCATGATTTCTGGACTTGAAAGCTAGCCCTGCAAATAAAAAGCAATAATCATTTAGTAGAGTATCATAGGAAACTCTGTGATTCAGAGTACAAATGGTATGATCAGATTAAAATCTCATTGCATCTCTGGTTTATGGGCTGCTGTGAAAATGTATTCTATTTTTTTTTATTTATTAAAAGTCAAGTGCCTAGAGTAGCATTATAAATGTAGAAAGCATTTTCAGCTTCCTGAAACTCTGCAAAGCCTACAAGAGGTTAATGGGGCAGAAGAAAAAGAGAGAAGTAAAAAGACAAAAGGAAAGAACGAAGGAGGCATGAAACAAGAGTAAAGGGATGATAAGAAGTGTCAAAAATGCATTGTTGCTAAATGGTCATAGCTCTATTCCTGGTTCACCATTTTCACCTGTGGGATCATCTCTTCCATCTCTGCCTAGTAAGCCATTGACTGCAGGAGCACTGTGCTGAATTACTTGGCAGGAACAAATTTTCTCTTCAGGTTTATCTGTGTTAACTGAACTTATTACCATCTACAGTGAAAACCAAAGTACCAAAGCATTGAAAAGCTGAAGAAGAGTCATTGCTATGTTTACAGATCTGTGACAAATCAAGCAGAGTAATTTTATAAATTTCTTGCATAACATAATTTTAAGTGATTGTCTAGGAAAGAGTTGCCTACATTGCCTGGGAAAAACACTCTAATCTTCAGCCAAAAGACCAAGAACAAAGGATAGCGTCTGAACCATTTCATCTAGTGCCTGATGGTATCTTTATGTATGGAAACCAGAAAAGAAATAACCAAGCTTATAGGAATCTGAAAATCTCAATATAGCAACCTAATTTCACTGAATTTCACTGAACCTAATATAGCAACAGTCATCAGTAGTCCAGTTTGGGATGAATCCTGACCTCTCCAGCAATTTTATTTCTGCTGGGACTCTTCTTTCCACAGCCATCAGGACTGCTGTATGTCTAGCCATCAGATTAGTAGCCAACTCTAGCAAGCATGATTTCTGGACTTGAAAGCTAGCCCTGCAAATAAAAAGCAATAATCATTTAGTAGAGTATCATAGGAAACTCTGTGATTCAGAGTACAAATGGTATGATCAGATTAAAATCTCATTGTATCTCTGGTTTATGGGCTGCTGTGAAAATGTATTCTATTTTTTTTATTTATTAAAAGTCAAGTGCCTAGAGTAGCATTATAAATGTAGAAAGCATTTTCAGCTTCCTGAAACTCTGCAAAGCCTACAAGAGGTTAATGGGGCAGAAGAAAAAGAGAGAAGTAAAAAGACAAAAGGAAAGAACGAAGGAGGCATGAAACAAGAGTAAAGGGATGATAAGAAGTGTCAAAAATGCATTATTGCTAAATGGTCATAGCTCTATTCCTGGTTCACCATTTTCACCTGTGGGATCATCTCTTCCATCTCTGCCTAGTAAGCCATTGACTGCAGGAGCACTGTGCTGAATTACTTGGCAGGAATAAATTTTCTCTTCAGGTTTATCTGTGTTAACTGAACTTATTACCATCTACAGTGAAAACCAAAGTACCAAAGCATTGAAAAGCTGAAGAAGAGTCATTGCTATGTTTACAGATCTGTGACAAATCAAGCAGAGTAATTTTATAAATTTCTTGCATAACATAATTTTAAGTGATTGTCTAGGAAAGAGTTGCCTACATTGCCTGGGAAAAACACTCTAATCTTCAGCCAAAAGACCAAGAACAAAGGATAGCGTCTGAACCATTTCATCTAGTGCCTGATGGTATCTTTATGTATGGAAACCAGAAAAGAAATAACCAAGCTTATAGGAATCTGAAAATCTCAATATAGCAACCTAATTTCACTGAATTTCACTGAACCTAATATAGCAACAGTCATCAGTAGTCCAGTTTGGGATGAATCCTGAACTCTCCAGCAATTTTATTTCTGCTGGGACTCTTCTTTCCACAGCCATCAGGACTGCTGTATGTCTAAGCTCAGAGTGATTAAGCTGTTTCTCTTGATAGCATCTCCACTACTAGCAAACACCCATAGATTAATGGACAAAAAGCTTAAGTGCATCTAAGTAGTAATGATCTGATCGCCTCCCAACTTCTCCTTTCAGAGCTTGTATATTAACAAGATACATTTCTTGCTCAGTATTACACCCCAGAGACAAAGTCCTCTTGGATCCTAGATCTGCAATACTTTGCTGCCCTCTCTGAGCAGAACAACAGTAACAGGCAGTAACATCATAAGGTAAAGCTCTGCCTGATGTTCTGACACGTTGCACCACCGTAATTGTCCTTGATTTTAATATGAAGGTCAAATTTGAGGCAATCATGTTTCATGTATTCCGTGTTTAACTGAAAATAAAACAAACTCGTGAGATGACAAACTTTTATAGTAAATATGCCTCATACTAAAGTCAACTGGCCTTATTTTCTCCCAGTTAAGATGAAAAGCAAGCCTAAAGAAGCACCATTTGGTTGACAGGTTGGGGTAAGGAAAGAAAATAAAATCCAGCCTGAATTTTGCTATTTACCTCAATTATTTCTCTTTATTTTAAGTGTCAGAAAAGATTACCCACAGAGAGCAGCTTCCCCTGACATGTTTCATCTGATAAAATGCAATATAAACTATATTCACTAGCATATTACTGTAAGAACATTATCCTTAGGATAAAAAGTAGAGTTTAAGCAGCACCACTTTTCTATGTACTCCTTTGTGCTTCCTTCATTAGGCTCATCAAAATCTGGGGCAATGGCATACGCCAAAATAAAATAAGGAAAGGTATTTAGCTAACTAATACAACCCAGCTTGAATCCTGATTGATATTTCTTATCCAGCTTCATGGACTCAAGCCAGTTCCTAACAGCCCTCTAAGGATTTCCTTCTGCTGAATTTTTATACTATGTCGATTATCCAATACCAGGGGATTGACATTGTCTCCCATGAAGGCAGCAAGACAAAGCTTGAAATAATGGCACAATAAAAGAAAACCTGAACAGAAAATGTGAAGCTGTCAGAGTAGTTCTCTCCCTACAGAGATTCAACCTCACACAAACCTTTGTTGGTTTTGCCTGCGAGGAGCTAAGATCTATTTACCTCCAAAGTTTTTCAAGTTGACCACCCCAATCCTTCATTCTAGGAGAGCTGAAGTGCCTGTTTACCTTTGGCAAATTGGTGGCAGGGTTTCCTAGCAATGAAATCACTTCCCAAAGAGACAAATGATAATTTGCACCAACAACAATTTAGATTCAAAAGCAAAATATTCCATATTTCTCACAAAAACAGAGTAAATCTTAGAGACATAGAAAAAAACCCAGATTTGCAATCCATATTTATATTTAGAGAAGATGGAAGATCCCACATGGAGAATCCCACCATGTCTGGATTTAATGACAATCCTCAGGTCCCAAGGCTTACACAGCTGCAGACTTTCTCAACAGAGAGATCAGAATTTGGCCTTGAAAGATGCCATGAAACTTCTATGTTTAGGAGGTAGCGAGTTCTTCAGGTCCTATTTAAAGACATAGATCTCAGGTAATTCTTTTGTTTCTCCATAAAACATGCTTAAGGATATGATTCTCCCAATGCAGGTACAGCAGGGAAAGAATCCTGGAAGAGAGAGCAGGAAGTCCCTGTTCTAGACCTAGTCTGTCACCACAGGTGTCGGCTCTGAGTCATTAGCCCAGAACCCAAGAGTCTGACAGCACAGGACAGCCCTATTGAAGCCAAATACTAGGGGAACTGCTCCTCAAAAGCAGGTATTACACTTATACAAAGAGTACTCAAGGACAAAACACTATTAAACTGACAGATTACATCCTGCTAACAGTCCTCCTCATCAGCTTGCCACTCTCCAGTAGAGAAGCCTACAAAAGTCCTTTCTAACCAGCACGTCTGCACCCGCAAAGGTTGCATGGCCTCAGTACGGTCAAATACTTATCAGAGCAAAAGAGATCTTTACTTACCAACACCTTTGCTTGATCAGTACACAGTGAAACTCTTATCGCACCACTGGCTTCCCTGACAGCCAGCACAACGGAATGTAGTAGAGAAGAAATGGAACAGAAATTTGCTGGATTTTTACCATGAGGACAAGCCTGCCAAGAGACAAAAAAATCCCGTACATTTCTACTAAAAGCTGTAATTTTGTGCTTTATTTTGGAAAGAGGTTGCTTCTAACTTATCTCTGTCTTGCACAACCCTAATGATTGCCTACCTCAATCCTACCACCCCTATTTACAGGTACTGCACATGACATTCTGGGACTGAGCCCTTTGCTCTTTGCCTGGCCTTGGACAGACATTGGCTGTATTATGGTACAAATGAACAACCCAAAAATCAGAACAACTGCCAGCACTGAAAATTTTGACTGTAAGGTTTTTCCCCTTTATTCAGTCAAAGGGTTCATTTTTGAGTAACCTAGGAGAGGGAAAGATATTTGAGGTTTGCTTAACTGCAGTGACTGCCTTTCCTGTAATGTAGTCTGAATTGGAAAAAAATTGACCCATTTACGTTTAAAAATGGGATGTGGGATTTGGAAAAACAACATGGGGTGAAGGAATTTATCTTTAAAGTAAACCACTTACTACTTGTCTTCCTATAATGCCAGTGATACAGTTAGTGATTAGAACGAACCTCTCAACAGAGCTTGCACTGTCCAGCTGGCTACAGTCCATTGTGTGGACATGGAAAGTACAGTAGTAAGAACAGTGTGTGGGATATTGCCACAGGTAGCTCTGCAAAATTAACAACATAATAAGAACCAAACATGGCATCTATATGCTGTCAGTGCATGGCATCCAAGACTCATCTTGTAACCCACAAAAATGTTTGTTGAATGTTGAACTTCCCTGAAGGTTGCTTGCCTGCAAAAACAGAATTATGAAGCAGACAGGATTCTCAACAATTTCCCCACCCTAGGTTCTCGCCAGGTCAGGACACCATCTTGCTGAAACGTATTTTATCACGCTGTAGAAATTTTACTAAGCAGCGACAAACCCAGCATTTTTATATGTGGTATCCAAAACTACAGGACTATTGTAAATTCCTGCATCAAGTGACAAATTACAATCATAAGACAGGTGACTTAGTATACACAAATTATTAAATGTCTGTCTTCACTGGATTTGTAATTTTATTTTCTATCTCCTTATTTCTATACAGCCTTCCCTTCCTCCAGATTTGGTTCTGCTGATTCCCAGTTTGATTACTGAGTTCCTTACTATTTAGATCCTTGAATGTACCTTCTTTCTGCATATCATTCATTTTGGGGAATGGTTTTATGCCTGGCTGTTCTTTGATATATGGTGCAGCTCTCTGCAGATTTCCTTGGAGAAGCAGGCAGCTCAGCACGTGAGAACACTTGGCTTTTGAAGTTTGAAACGTGCCTTTGGAGCCATCAGTTTTGAGCATTCTTCACCAGCAGCAACATCGTCTGGGAATAACAGAAGTGGAAACTATATCCCAATTATTTTCATCACAGCATAGCAGGGTGACAGCTTCTAGACACTTGCAAAAGAATATATGGCTAAAGCAGTGGATAGAAATGCACAGCTAGCTCATTGATTCACTTTGATGTCAGACCAACAGAGCGCTCTTATCCCCAAACCAGGAGTTTCCAAAGTATTTCAAACTTTTCATTGAGACAACTACAGTCAGGATTAAAGACTTGTGAAGAACAAAACCCTAGGAATAACCTTGTTTCAGAAAAACCTTCGACCAGGCATTATGGACCACCATTCTTAATAGGTGCTCTTACAGTGAGTTTAATTAGAGCTCTTAGAAAGATATAAAGTGGAAGCTGTCCTACGCAGAATCTTTTTCTTCTGAATTAGTAGTGCTTTATCCCTTGCCTGTGTAACCTACCATGCATCTGAATTTCTGCACAGTAAGAAGGATGAAGCAAAGCTGAAGCTCTTCATCTATTTCTTTTCACTTGCCAGCCTGCCACAGAGACTATGCAGACCAACAGTTGCTTCCTGTCTCAGGCTGGTACACTGAATCAGCCCCAATCTTTGGATGTCCTGTGTCCACTCTGTATATTAAGAGCAAAGTAAAAGTATCAACTGCTTGTGAGAGAGGAGGGGGATTTATACAGCAGGACACATTAGGAACAATGCCATACTAATAACATAGATAGGTAGGAATAGGAATAATACTGTAATTATTATTACAGAGTTTCACCCTTCATTCATGGTAGAAATTAGACAGCATAACATGAACATCTGAGTTCACGTCTATGTAAAAAATAAAGACCTAAACAAGCAGATTCCAGCAAGATTCCAGTGGACATTAATGAGAGTCAGATATTTAATTTATTTTTCTGTTCTGGGCCAGACAGCTAACAAACTAGGAAAAAAGTGGAATTTTGTACCACCTTCCCCTCCCTCAAACTTCAAATGACTGCATATTAGTCTGGACCCAAGATTATAAGTAAAAACTATTGCTGTTTCTTATTAAAAACAGACTTTGCAGAGGTACTGAGTCTGCCCTTTGGAGTCTGCAAGACTGAGCATATAAACTTTACAGAAGCTGTAAGTCAGTTGAGACAGCAGACCAAACCAAAAAAACCCAAACAACCTTCCTAACTCAGAGGAAGTTCTGTTTGAGATTCCAACAAAGTTCATACCGGATCCCACACTCGGGCTACTGACTACTTAGAACACACGTACCACGTG